AAATCGTCCACTCGTTTTGTTATACTTCATGCTTCAAATTTATAAACTTTCGCAGTCGAGACTGAGCCAGTCATACCCACTGCTCAAAGTGCAACGGCTTCGACGGTACTCACCCTAGAATGAGCTGAAGAAAGAAATGCGTTTTCCAGTGTTTTCTTCTAGCGCAGCCGCAAATTGACTATCTGTAGACCAGGGAGATACTATGACTGGCTGGCGTCCTTTAGTCTCGTGATTGCTTCGGCGACCGCACACACAGTCAGTGTGACGTGCAATAGGATGCAACAACCATTAATCGATAGTGGTGGATCCTCCATCTTCGCGTTGCTTTAGCGTCGTTTACATCCGACTGATCTACCGCACTTTCGGTCTTCAGTACGGGTATGTGCCAATGTAATAAAGCCCACTGACACTACTGCTGCATAGGACAGCAAACTACTGAGAGCACTTGAGATTTAGGCTTGCACTGGCTAGTTAGAGGTGGGTAAAATTTGTCCTACACTTCGTCTCTATATCTTAAGATGACCGCCCCAATAAGCTCCAAAGATGACTCCTTTTTTAGGCACGAACGTATTTAATTCATTCTTGATACCATTGTGTAAATGTATAATCTTGAAACACAGCATAGATTTGAATGCTGCTTGTCTCTGGGTATGCTTGAGTGCTCTAAAAACCCATCTTCATGAACAGCTTGTCATAGATAGCTTTAAAAGGTCGTAGGAGAGCAATTAATAAAATTGATTGTGCGATTGATGGAATTCTACATAGCGATATAATCTACGTAAGGTGACTTGTATGTGGTGATTATTTGTACCTACATCAACAAATCGGTGTCAATGCGGACAGCAGAGATTCTAGAGCCCATGCGATGGCTAAGAAGCGCTAAGTTAAATCTCCCTTGGAATTTAGTTATCGGCCGTTTTATAATCATTGTATGTTTAATTCTTTTTCACTGAATTGTCCATGCGGTTACCCACACATTTGTTGCCGTTCAATATATATCTATATAGCCTTGCAGTGTGAGCTCGTCAAACGCGTGACACGGTTCGTCTACATGATAAATCAATTCTCATGCGGGATGGTTAAAAAGCTTTAATGTTGCTCTTAAAGAAGGAGTTCAGAGGTACGATATAGTTGGTGGTATGAGATGAATGAGCGTTTAGTATGAAGCGTAATACCACAACTTGACAATTTAGAGGCTTCCAAAATCTCATTGCTTGTTTAATGCATGGGTGAAGGCTCATTAGCTGAATACTCATTATCGACTCCCTAAAAACATTAAATATAATGTCAAACAACACTGCGATCCCGACAATGACTTCTAATCTCATGCTTTGTAGCTGGCGTTAACCAGACCGAAAACGGCGGCTTAGTCGGTATTTTGACTTTTAGACTGCTCAGCGGACTGTATGCACATTGAAAACTAACAACAAATCTAACTGAAGTAGCAACATCGACAACTATTGCTTCTATTCGATCTAGAGATTGCATTCGACAGATCGCACTAGCAAACAGGTTCCGTAAGGTACGAACGAGCAGATAAAGACCTTGTAAACTGGACTATAAATAAAGCAGTTAAGTTACATATAAGATCGTTAAGCTATGCAGATGGGCATAAGGTACAAGATTAGTGTATTTTATCAAGGTACTGGCTATGTAGATACCCCCATCTTACTACGCGGACACCCCTTGGATAAAATTTTGATCGTTCAATGATGGTGCCCCCCCCGAATTTAACACGTGACTTCACTTCTGATGAGCATTGCGGTATCCCATGTAAGCCGCACATCCAGTGCCGGTGATTCCCGGGCACACAATTGAGGTAGTTCCACTCTCAATTTTTGTGGCAGATTTAGTTTAGCCAAGGTGGACAAGGTGGTGCTGACTTTCGTGTTGTCTTGGATTTGACTGATACACCGGCGGCTTACGGACGTCAGATTTTGTTACGATGACTTGACGGGAAACTTTACACTAATGCATGTATCTAACTGCTTCACCATATGATTTGTCTTTTATGTATACAGAAGAAGATGCATTGTCTGCATGGTACGCTGTTATAGCGCCTCCAGGTACGGAGCAGAGCAAACATAATTGGTGATCGAGGATGCTGCCCTGTAAACTTTGATCCCTCTGTGCGCTTCTACAATGCGTTTTAAATACTCTGGTTTTAATCGCTGCGTTGTATATCCTTGGATATGATCATGTGCAATAATTGCCTCTATGCAGCCTCTGAAGAATTACTGACAGTATTGGTTCGCGGTGGCTCAGGCATCTGTGCAGTTCACACAGAGGAATTTTAAAAGTGGGTCAAACGTAAGTTAAATTGATCAGTACTGACCCCGCGGCAAGAGTGCAGGAGCAGTTCTTTCCATTTTTATCTTTTACCAACAACCATCTCATGCTCTTACACGTCAATTTTCATGGCCGCGTAATTGTAGCCGTGTATGCCGCTGGGCACAAGTGAAACGTGATTTAAGAAGGAGGCTATGCAAAAGTCAGGTGAGATCAAAATACCTTTTCGCGAGCGTGATGGGCGAAGCTATAAGTGAATGTGCGCAAGCTGATAGGCCGATCTTTTATATCGTACTTGTCTGTGTGTGTCTGTAATAAACGCGGCTAGGTGTACCTTACACGTTCCAAGTGCGATCTAGCCTTGATCCCGTCATAGGTAAAGGTATTTCTGAAGTCACTTTTTGGGCTAAGTCACTATTTTGACGCACGTACGTGATTGGCTTAAAATCATTTAGCGACGAATGTGATCATATGAGCAAATGCGAGACGCTCATAACCACAGGCCGATCGCGTTGCCCTACCACACTGTGCTGGATTTATATAAATATTAACAGCATCACACTCCTTCTTCAGTGACTGCTGTTGTATAGCATTTTGCAGCTTGAAGCAGTTCTCCGAACTGGACTACTAATAGAAAGGGGTAAGCTGCAAAGTTTGCTCCCCTATCTTATAAGGAAAAGCTGGATGTTTGAAAACATCCAGCTTAAGCGCAGGCCGATCGAGATGCCCTAGCCTACTAAACTGGATTTCTACACACATTAACAGCATCATACTCGTTCTTCAGTTACTACTGTTGTACAGTGTTTTGCTACTAGTAGGTACGGAGGATAGAGGTGATGGCAGGTCAATGAATCGCGCGTAACGAACCTCATCAGCACAAATTTCCGGGATGTGCAAATTGATCGACACAACGACGTCGTAAGCGCTGGTCATCGACAACGTGCTTTGCAACAATATAATTTACTGTGAACCCGAAGGGTGAACCTTTAATGACAGAGCTCAAGGTACTTGAAAATGCAATAATTGAATTAGTTCTATGAACTATATTACGATTATTAAAAGACAAGCTCGAGAGCTTGCTCTCGTGCTTCCTCTTTATCCAACGATAGTTCGCGCTGTGAGTAGGAGCACCGCACTATTGTTTAGATCATATCTTTTGTCCAAAACGTGTCCGCGTAGTAAAAAGGGGGTGTCTGCCTCGTCAGTCCCGTTTTAGGCTGCGCTGGATTTTTGCTCATGATCATACTACGACGGCGTTCTAGCACAACTGGATTCTAAAAAGCGTCGGTTTGACATAAAGCATGCTCAAGAGGATAGCGGCGACACAGACAGCGGACTTCTCTGGGTATCATTCCACTGGTCGTATTCATTAGCAATATACTACTGATGGACTGCCACAGTAGCAACATTGCTGTTATCAAACAGTAGGGTGGGTCATTGCGTGATCGTTGGCCACTGTCTCACTTCGACTGTGACGGTGAATGGCCACTAGGAACTGCGTCTGGAACTGCGACGATTCCCTCGCCCTGCTCCTGCTAATCAGCTCTGTCGGTTATTCGCTGACCATCATGAAAGCAGATAGTCGAGCTTTTCTGGTCCTACCTGCGCGGCACTTCTTTGAGTGGCTTCTTGATAACGTGTACCCATCATTTATCGTATACGGATCTATCACCGTTATCGTGTCCACCAGCGGCGTCTAGATATCCTCTTCAGGCGGCATAAGCAAGTGCCATTTACGGGATGAAAATCACTACGTATCCACTGTTTGCCATAGGTGCGAGACTTTTGCTGTCATTATGTGTTGAATATTTGCTTATAGCCCCTGTCCACCCTTGGTCGCTCTTGAGTCGATCATGTGCGAGCATTGGTGCGGCCGTGTGACAAAGATTGAACCGCTAACGTTTTCGCTGTCAACAAAAACTTCATGAGGTCGCAAGTAGTGAGTGACCTTATTGTTGTGCTGCACCTTGTTGCACACCTACCTGTAGGAAGAGTGCGACATCGCACATAGTACGACGTGTAAGGTGCACCTGAACGTAATTTACACCCACACTCACTGACCCAGCGTATATTTTGAGAAACTCTAGCTTCCACCTTGCGCACCATCACCATTAGCTTCACCCGGCAACAACCTGCAACCACGATAGTGTGAAGCAATTAGTTGTACCCTTCCGGCTAAAGGGCAGTTCAAATCACTTTATCCTTTGGGCTCGTAATTAGTGACAAACAACAACATTGCGTAGAACTCCATCCCTTACACCAACACGATCGTCACTTTACATATAATGTCTGATGTACAGACAAGGACGCCTACATGTAGAAAACTGTCCGAGCAGACCTGGCTCCTCCTGCTCAAAAACCATTGCTGCTAATCTCACCATCATCTTCTTCCTGGAGTGCGTCATAGGCATCTTGCTCGAAACAAAACTGTCATTTTTCGGGAATGAAGACACATTCCATCGCTTCCAAATAGTTGAAGTGGTGTTGAAGAGGTGTCCGTAGTAACCTTCATCTAAATTGGTCAGCACGCACCACGCTGTCCATGCCACAAAAAATATGGCGGACCCCGATCCTGTCCTGTGCAACACGCCCATAATCAAGCATGAGCTAGCCCGCAAAAGCTCATGATCCCAATCGTGCTCTGCAATGACAAAGACGACCGTGATAAACGTACAAGAGATATGCCAACGTGTGCTACACACAGCACCAAATCAGTGCGACCGCTTTCGTGCCGCCATCTTCGCTCGCAAACGCTCTTTCTGAGCAATCAACAATTGCTTCTTGACGTCAATTGCACTAGCGTGCTTTGCGTTCTGAGCTATCGTCTCAGAAGCTGGTGCAATGATAATCTCTTGCTGCACTTCGACGACGGACTGCTGTTGTACTGCAGGCCTTTGTGGGGATAAACACTGACCCATTTGAGAGACTGCAGGCGTTACGCGTGGACTCCGTGGCTGCCTCGGTAAGTCTGATAAACTAAACCTGGACGGGTAAGGACGATCCAAGCGGCTTGCATATTTTTCCATGTCAGCTGCTTTTCGGAACGCTTGCTTCGTCTTGAAGCGAGACCCTTCTTGCCAAACGCCACCAAAGTTCGGCAGCCAGTCTGGACCATACTCGGATTTTGATTCCAGCTCTGTAAAAATGTCTCTCCTCTTCCCTTCTGCCATTCTCCTTTTCCGCTGCTGCTGACAGGTCACCAAGCCACTAACGGATGCCACTTGGTCACGACGATTGCATTGTTTGTACTCCTCTTCCGTCTGCACCATCCAGGGCGGCACTGCTGCACTGTGTACGTTTCCGACACTAGCACCCCACGAAACAGAAACAATGGAACTGCACCCTTGACCCTGAGCGAGCTCAGTCACTCGATGTGTAAGGACGCGACCACTCGGCTCCGTCAGCTGCGTCGCTGCTGGCTGCACCATTTGCTCTTCTTTCACCAATTGATCAATCGGCCACGTTATCCACTCAGCTTTTCGCAGCTTCACGATTCCACCACCCCACACCCTTCTACCTTCATGACAGCCAACAGGGTTCTGCAGTACTCCATCAGCGGACGCGATCGTCTTATAATTTCCGAGTCACCACTGCCCCCTCCAATGGACCCGATACAACTTCATGGAGTTTCTGATGTGCTGCAGGGGCTGCACTAGCAGCAAGTGAAGGGACAGCTCGACTTCCGTCCACATTTCTCCTCCTTCTCTCGGTCTCCACCTCTTGCAGTCTCGATGTTGCAGACGATAAGAACGCTGCGATGCGCCCACTGGTTGTGTCCTCGACCTGGCACTGCTCCTTCTTCTCCTGTTGCACATGATCATCTGGTTTACTTGTGTCGCACACTTTTGGCTCCACCTATCACATCCATAAAGACAAACACGGCACAGCAACATTGAGACAAAGACGACACCAATTAGGTATGAAAAGCAGTAGCAATACACTCTGCATTAGCAGTACTAGAACTACTATCAGCAGTATTACACTAGCTACCACAATCAGTATCAATAGCAATACCGGTGACTCCACCAGTAGTTGTCACAATCACTTAATTCAGTAGTAGCTATAATAGTAGCTATAATAGTAGTAAAAAATAGTAGTGATATCAGCAGTAGTAGTTGCGTACCTCGCGACGTTGCGGCGTCATCTGATGCCAAAGCTTGCGCCGCATCTTCCGGTCTCCATCGCAGCGATACTGTCGACAAAAGTCCACCACTCGTTTCCGGTGCGAATGGCTCCCGACGTGGATCAACGCGTCGCCTCTACGTATCGAAGAGGCGCAAAACACACAGCGCCACGCAGTCCACGAGGCAACTGGCAGCGCACAATCGCCACCCACGAGCGCCGCCACTCGATTTGCTTGCCGGTCGAGAAACTGGTGCGTGGCCTGTTGGTGTTTGCGAGTGAAAAGGTGCTTGCGCCACTTGCCGTCGCTCGAGCAGCGACATACGAGGCAATACGGCGCCTCCTTTACACGGTCGTCCATACACGGGTCTGTCACGGCATATGCAATTTGACAGGAAGTCGCCGATACGCCAATATACTGAGCTAAATTAATCCACTGACCTTATCTATCCGTGCAATTCGACAGCCGCTAGGCCGACCTATTTTTGTAGCTCTATCTACATTTTTTGATTCCCATATGGCTACAAAACGGGCTATCGACTGACTGTAGGACTTTGTCACCGTCTTCATCTTCTTGATGTTAGTTTCTGAAGTAAGCGGTACGTGCGTCTGTCGGGTACGACCGTGAGTCGACAGCGACAAGAGCCACGACGTTTTGACTGGCAGCGACCCACTACTGCATCGAAAATCGTCAGCCACGCGTTTCTGTGCGGTAAGAGCTCGTGGATTCTCGTTACACGTGGTCAGCACGTTTCATGCGCCCTATGATTACTCGAAGCCGCGCATCCCTCAAGTCGCATCGCGTAACTGCTGTATCCGCACAGCTGGGGAACCCTGACGGCAAGCGAACAGCTCCGCTTGTTACAGCCGTGCGACGCTCGGTCCGTTGCAGTGTGATGATTCGGTCGACAAGAAGGACCCAGGAATATCCACTCGCGGTCGTCCCACCGTTCCGTTCGCAAGGACGGAGAAACGTCGAGCCGATAGATGCAGCACCGAAAGACCGTCGAGGGGATCGCATACAACCTGCACTCGAAAGCTGGCACAAGCAGGGAACGGGCACGTCTGTAGTCGACGTCTGTCGGAAGAAGAGAGGAGTCGAGCTGCGTAAAGTCGAAGAAGATGGAGACAAAGAGAAACAGGCTGGCCCCATGTCGTCGCCCGACAGCTGTTGCTGACATAGCCCGTTCGTTCACTGGGGCGTACCACGTGGTCGTGACGATGCGAACATCCGCGTAAAGGATCTATCACGAAAGTAGCTCATCAATGGAAAAAAAACATGCAGCCCTCGCGCAAGTCCAGGAGACGAGATCCCTCACACTAGTCGCGGCCCACACCTCGACTCTTCGTTTCACTCGACTCTCTAGCCGGTCCCCGCTCTTCGTTCGTCTACACGATCGATCGATCGATCGACTGTTTGTCTGGCCGTCTGTCGTCTTCCTACTGAAATGATCGCAATCCACGCGAAGATTAGTACCGGAACCACACAACCCGACGCTCGAAATGACATGAACCAGACAAACGAACGGCCAGCCGGACGGACGGACGAACCACAACAATCACAAACCGCCCACACCTTTTTTCGTTCTTCTTACCGCAAGGGATAGAGAGAGAGAGAGAGAAGAGAGAGAGAGCGACGAACCGACCGATCGATCGATCGACCGATCGACTGCGCGAGCGAGTGAACGAGTGAACGAGAGAGAGAAAGAGAGACAACGGAATAAAAAAGAGTCACGCAACGTCACGTGGTCGTTGTCGTCCTCGTCCCTCGCGCTTGCCCTCGCTGTCTGCCGTTTGGCCATTCTGGGCTGTTCAATGTCCTCGACACCAATGGACGTCCGTCGGCCCGCGTCCATTTCGTCGTATTTCGCCCACCCGCTGCCGTCCTCGCGTCCCTATCGCCTCTTGCTCCGCGTCTACGCGGCTGAAGGGCTCCAGCTCGTGGCCAGCCAGGGCAGCTACTGCAAGGTCTACGTGGGCCACACGGACATGGTCCACGGCAGCAGCACGTTCGCTCGCCGCACGCAGCAGCTCACGTCGTCGGCTTCGTCGCACAGTTTGACCGGTCTCTTGCACTCGTCATTTGGCTCGAGTCGCAATAGCAGAAGGAGCAGTGGGAATACTACTGCTACTGCTACTGCTACTAATAGTCATAATCCTCCTCTCAATACCCTGAATAGTCATAATCTCGGCAGCAGTCGTAGTAATTTTAGTAGTAGTCGCAGTCTCTTATCGTCGAGGGATAATGTGGAGAAAAATAAGCTCGGGACGTCGGTTATAAGCGTACGCAAGACGCAGACCCGGAAAATCACCTCGCGGTCCTTGGCTCCTGTGGTCTGGAATGAAAAATTTGACATCCCTGTAGCGAATTTCGACCAAGACGTGCTGAGTATTCGCGTCAAGACAGCGAGACTCATGGCTTCATCAGCGATTGGCGCGTGTTCTTTGTCGTTGAAGCACGTGGTGGCAGTAGGAGCTCCGACGCTCGATCGGTGGGTAGAGTTGAAGCGCGGGACGAAGAACGTGGGCCGCATTCGCCTGCAGATGCGACTCGTGGACGTCTCGCCGTCCAGTGGACAAGAATGTGATGACGCTGGAGCTGATGGTAGAGAGCAGCAAGAGCGGGATACGCACTTGAGTGTCCCGGCTGAAGAAACAGTGGAAGACATTGCAGCGCGGTCGAAGAAATCGTCCCGACGGGGCCACAAATACCATCGATCTGCACGGCGGTTTGATGGCCGACCGGTGACGAATACAGCACTGGCGAGCAGCTGTAGTACCAACAGCAGCAGCAGTAGCAGAAGCAGTCGTCGCAGTAGTAGCCACTTGGCTAATGGCAAAGATGGCAACTTGAAGCGAGTGTCAACTGCACGTCGACCACTTCGGAACCATAGTGGCAGTGCGACCTCGAGCGAGTCGATTGATGACTCGGACCCGGTTAGCGACGCATCGGGTTCGCCCGTCGTGTCTCCTAGACACGAGCGATCGTCGAGTGAAGACGGATCGGTGTTTTGCGACATGGAGTCCAGTTTTGCAATGGATCGACGATCGACAAAGGGAGCGACTTTGTCTCCTTGGATGACAGCAGCTGCTGTGAAATCGTTTGCGCGTATGCGGAAGTCTGAATTAGGTGAGTCTAGTTGGTGTTTGTTTGCTGGTTTAGTCTACCTGAATGGGTTGAATGGCTGGGTATTCATGTCTTGTTGTGTATTGCTATTACAGAGTGCTCAAGGATGAACATTGATGACTTATCACGAGGGTCTAGGACATCAGGGTCTTCGGGAAATGTACACGGGGATGGTCGAGAAAGTGACGATGATTCGGACGGGTGTGGTTACCGTTGTAGCTCAAACACGGGTTGGGCAGACAACTATACTAAATCGAGCATGTCATCGAGCATTTCAGACCCTCGTGGGAGTTCCCGAATGGACTTTGATGATGACGATGACGACGACGACGAATGGAACATAGGCACGACAAAAGAGTCGGGGACCAACAGACCTGCGTCGGTTGCGCTATCCAGCGTGGCCTCTAGTGCATTTGACGCACGTGAGAGTTCTCGGCTTAGCTTTTGGGACAGTGAAAGTGAAGATGAGGAAAGTGATGATGTCAAACTGGAAAAAGCGCGCGAGCAGCAGCGACAACAGTGGCAGATAGAGCAGCGAAAGAAACAGCTTGCGGCGATTGAAGAATTGCCTCAGTCCGTATCAGACGACGAGAGCGATGAGGATGATGACGATCAGGACGGACTTGAGTTCGATTTGTCTCGGATGCAGTTCACACCCACACTTGCGACGCTTCTGACTCGCGAGAGTAATAACGTGCTGATAGAGGAGGAAGATGATGAGGAAGGTCCAGAGTCTCACAAGATGAGTGAGGAGTTCGTGCCTATTCTCGAAGGTTCTTCACTGATGTCTGTCGATTTCGTGGACGGCGCATCGCGTTGGTCAAGTTTTGGTTGAACCCGACCACAACCTTATTTACTAGTCGAGTAATGCGACGAAAGCAGTCGGTACTCCGACTCATAGGTGTCCCGCCTTTAGTCGAGGGATACTATAACATCCAGTGTAGCCGATGTCATGTCATCGCATATATCTATTCTAATTATTACTGTTCGAAGTATTAAAGTTAGTGTGTGCTGAGTGTGCTATCGGCTGAAAAAGGGAAACATCATTGCGATAGAGAGAGAGTTTCAGAGTGTCTATTTACTTAGCTTAAACTACGTGCAAGATCTCTGGTATAAACTAAGCCAGGACGTAAGCGCCGGGGTACCCGGGGGCTCTTCGTGGCTGGTGCCAGTGACCACTGGCAACCCTCTTGGTTCGGTTTCCAATAACTCGATGCATGCATAAAGCACTGCCCCGGTAATTGCTGTTGCTACTTTTCGATGCCGCCTCTGTGCTATAGCTCGAAGCTGGCGGATGCACGAGGCCCAGAAATTTTCGGTACCCCTAGTAATATCGATAGACTCTGCCCGGAAGACCGCCGCATTCCGGTCTGTCCATATCCTTGTCTGACGCATCGTCGCCAGGATGTGCCATATTTCTTTCCATACGCGGATGGCCGCAGCTACGTCGTCTTGAAATCGGTCGTTTAAGATTTTCATCCGGTGTGACTGTATCGTGTGGGCCTGGCGACTGGCGCAGGCGACCAAGAATTGTTGGGTCCGCCCGCGGGACGCGCGTTCCCCGGTCCAGTGCTCAATCAGTTTAATCCATAGGGCAGTTGCGCTGTTGCACTCCCAAAAGACATGCATGATCGTCTCTTCACATCCGTGACAGGCTGGTGCCTTCCGGCAACTATTGTCCTCAGGACGCGCCGCATGGTACAGGTTGAGCTGGCGCGTCGCGACCCGATACCCTGTCCAGACTTGATACGGAGAGAGTCCGTGACAATGATCCCACACTTGCCGCGGAGATTGCCTGAGAGCGGCACTCTGCCACTTGTCGATGATAGCCCTGTCGTCGAGACGTGAGATAAAATCCTTCAGGGGGCGGGCAAATACTTTCTTGTGTAACCGGAAAGCTTCCTGAACGATGTGAATGTTGGACGTTTTGTCCAGAACGGACCAAGGAAAATGGTGAAGCTGCGGGTTCGCTTCAAAAACGAGCCCTCCTGTCAAGAGCTCGCGGGTAAGCGCCTGTCGAGCGATGTCGGACTCGGCGATTAGCTCCGGCACCGATCCCTGAAAAAACCATCGCAGCCCGTCACTGGCTTGGTGTAGAGTGAAAGACGTGGGTGGGCTCCTCGAACTGGACGATGGCCGACCTTCAATGCTGCCAGCGCTGTTCAGCCTCCAGTCAAAGCTGACTGTGAAAGGAGGCTCGTGTCGGGGTCGGAGTGCTGGTGGCGTGTTTAGAGCCTCTCCAATTTGTAATTCGGGTGAGGATAAGAGCAAGGCTGTCGCCCACCGCCCTAATTTGGATCCTGAGTGAGGGCCTGGGTGGCGTAGCGGCAGAGGCACAGTCATCACAAATTCTGCCGGACCTGTGCGCACTATGTTAAGCACTTCCAGAGAGCATACTGCTATCCGATCGTATTTGCTGCGCGTCAGCAGATTACCGCTCATATCCCGGATCCAGGGGTTTGCACTCCAATTCAAGGTGTGCCAAAACCGCTGAATTTCTAATGGAAAGTCATCGGCCCCCACCGGCCGCCGAGGAAAGGCTTGATAATACGACAATACGTAATCCTCCCCTTCCCACCAGCTGGCGGCCCGTTCAAGCAGAGCCGGCGATTGACTGGCGATCCACGACTTCAGGCTGCCAAGTTGTGCTGGTGTAGGTGCGAGCCATTCTCCAAGCTCCTGCGTCAGTGCCTGGTACTTAGAGCGGCTACATCGTGACTCCGCCCTCCTAGTAGCCGTAGCTGGTGAAATTTTCTTCGCAGTACCCGGAGGCTCTCCCCGAAAACCCCATACTCGCCATGCGTCAAAATACTTGTTCTGGCGCTGCGTTAGCCAACTAATCGTATGCTTCGTCCGTTGAGTCTTGACAGCTACTGAGAAATCGATAAGCCCAATCCCCCCAGCCTGTTTGGGCGTCACTAGCAGGCCTGGGTTGACCTTGTGGCGGCTATTGTCGGTCACAGTCGCGTGCTCCCATAGAAAGTTCTTGTATAAATTATGAACCTCTTTTTCCGCCCATCGAGGGACGTCGAAGACGGACGCCGTAAAGAGCAAGGAGGGGGGAACAATGGAGTTCAGGATGAGTACCCTATTCTCAACGCTTGTCGCCACCCTCGTCGCAGTGAGGAGGCGGCGCTGAATTGTCCGGATCCGATGAGCCCAATTTTTGTTGTCCAGAGGCCCGGTCCCGATCTCGTACCCAAGGTACCTGGTAGTGGCGCCGGAGGGCACGATGTCTATACCGGCAAAGCTCGCTCTGGAGATGGCCCGGTTCAAAAAAAGAAGCTTGTTCTTTGCTGGTTGCACATGAAGGCCTGACAGATTCCCAAACGCTTGAATAATTCCGAGAGCATGGGGGATTTGTTTTGCCGTGTCCAAAAAGAGCGTTGAGTCATCGACGAACGCCGAAAAGAGATGAGTCCTGTCGACAGTCCTAGGCACTGGCAATCCTTTGAGTGACGGGTCTTGCTTGAGGGCGAGCCCTAATACCTCTACAACGAGTAAAAAGAGGAGAGGCGCAAGCGGGCAGCCTTGCCGGATTCCGGAACGCACCGGGAGCGCGGCGGATCGACCTCCATTAACGACAAAAGTTGCAGTCGTGCCCGTGTGGATCCGACAGATGAGGTCAATAAAGCTTTCTGTAAAACCAAATAGACGCATGGACTCGTATAAGAAATCTCGGTCCACAGTATCGTAAGCCTTCCGAAAGTCGAGTAATAAGATACAGCGACTGTCTTCCGCCGTCAAGTCGATCTGCTCCGTCGCCGTCGTTAGTTGGGCCATCATCATCATTACCGTCTTGGTCATACAGCGCCCGTGAACAAAACCTTGTTGGGAGTCACTAATGATACGCGGTAAACACACCTGCACCCTCGTAGCTAGCACCTTGGCAAAAACCTTGTACCCGGTTTGTAATAACGAGATCGGTCGATAATCCATGGCGTCATCTGAGTCACCTTTCTTCATAAGCGGAATAATTGAAGCCGACAGAAATGAGGGGGGTAGGTCGGCCCCCGCTAGAATTTGGTTGCCGATAGCTACAAGCGCCGGCACCATCAGCGCTGCTGTATCTTTGTAAAAATCATTATTGAGACCATCGGGACCCGCCGCTTTATACCGATTCATCCCTCGGACGGCTGAAAGCACCTCGGCCTCCGTTATCGGTAGCAGCAGGCGTTCATTATCGAGTGGAGTGAGCAGTTGCACATGTGGGATCGTCGAGAAATCCCGGACCGCCGCGGGCAACGAGTCCAGTGGCTCCTTGCGATGGCTGGCGCTTAACACGGACTCCCACTCCGACGCAAATCTATCTGCCAGGGACATATGCCGTGTGAATGCGTGCCCATAGCGTGCTGTCAACGAGGAGACACGTTGGTCCCGTTCCCAATTGGCTACCCGCTTGTAAGACCACCGAAGACGCTCGGTAGATCTCTCTAACTGCTCGCCGAGACGCACTAAATGATCCTCCCGCATTTCCTCCACATTGGCCGCTATCCAATGACGCCTGGTGAAAAACAGCCGCCTCCCTCGCTGTCGTATTTTCGAGATAAGCACCGTCGCCGCTGCTTTTCCCGTTTATTTACCACGGTTAAACAGCGGAAGCACCGGTTCACGGTAGTGTCCCAAGACTGTACTATAGGCGCGTGACCCACCCGCGAGGCTTCCATTTCTCGTAATAGATCTCTTAATACCCGGTCCTGTTGATTTGACTCGATAGGATACACAACACGCGCTCTGGCGGGGGTTGTGGGTTTATATTGACGGAGCCGTAAATGAAGAACGACCTGTTGGTGATCAGAGTAGACAGGGGGAGGAGTGGCGGACACCCATAGAACTGTCGATGCCCAGGATTCGGACACGTAGATTCGGTCGATCCGGCTGGCTGTTTCGGCAGTCCAGTATGTGTAGTGATCAGTCAAATCCTCTTCCTCTTCGTCTGCATGATACCTCATAAGACGAGCATCACTCAGCCTAGACGTCTCGAGTAACTTTTCCAGCGCAGGACTTCCCGTCCTACTAGCAAGTCGAGAACCTAGTCGATCCAGTTGAGGACTCTGCACGCAATTAAAATCTCCTAGCAAGGCTGTTCTCCCCAGCGGCAAGTTCCACCCGTGAAGACTCGTGAAAAATGCCTCGCGCTCTCCCCTGAGATTGGGGGCGTACACGTTTAAGATACATAAGTCCTGCACTGTAATCCCAATAGCGCGAGAATGCCAATTGTCTTCATTCCACGCAACGGCCCCCGTAGCGGCTGTCGGAGTGAGTAAAATGGCCACACCATTGGTCTTGGAGGACCCTACCGTCCAAAAGGACATGGGCGCCTGACCGGAGTCGTGATGCTTTCCCCACAACCGGCGCCATTCCTGCCGCAGGTCCGCTGCTTCCTCGGCGCTCGTGGCATGAGTTTCCTGTATGCACCACGTTAGAGGCCTAGAGCTCACTGGAGTCCGACGCCAGGCCGTCATCCATTGGATTCGTTTGGCCTGTGTGAAGCCGAGGACATTTTGGGTCAGAAGCCTCTGATTCGCCGTCCTCTGACTTGTGTGGCAAGAAGTGGATCCCAGGATGGTATGAAGCAATGCGCTGCGACCGTATGCGTCCGCGCTCGAGAGCGTCGCATCCGTAGACAGCGATGTGAGGAGTACCCGTGGAGTGCCCTTAGTACTGGAGGAGATACGTCTCCGCAGGACGGGTGAGCCCTGAGTAGAAAAACCGCTCAATCGCCGCCCAGTCAGCCACGCTGGCGGACGAGTAATACGCCTTCCTGTACAAAGCATTCGTGCTCAGTATTGGGATATGTGATCGGATCTTCTCGGACACGCGCGTATCCGCTGGAACCCCTTCCACTAGCGCTGCTATCTCTCGATCGTACACTAGCGCACACACTAAGTGTTGGCTCAGCTTCGCTTTCCGCTGGGGATCGCAAAATTTTAGTAAATCATCCCCCGCATAATCTTGTTCCCTCAACCGGCCCCAATCATCGGATCTGTCCATAAGCGGCGCCAAAACGACGGAATCGGTGCGGTGCTGCGAGTTTCGGATCCATTGGTCGAGCCACTGTGTCGTGTGCTGACTGACAGGTTGCTCGCGATACCGCCGCAGTCCATCTACCAAACAGCCGCGCCGGTTCTCCTCCATCCAATGGACTAAAACAGACGGGTCCAGGATCTGAAGAAGCTCACCCGGAAATGTGGACCTCTTGACTAGCCAGATTAAGTGATCGGGCACATGACCAGCGACCCTCTGCCATTCTAACGTCGAGCTACTGGCGAGAGAAAATGGAATCTGTTTCGGGTTTGGCCACATCGATATCATAAGCTCCCACGCTGCTGCCCAGTCCGTTCGGTCGACGCGCTCGTTTGCCTCATCGCCTAAGGGGAGCTGAGGCCCTGGGTCTCGCCTTCCTCTCTTAGCTACCGCTTCCTTGGCGCGCTGCGACCTGTCCGTCCCATCTGATATCTGCAAAATTTGAGACGCCACAAGCGCCCTTTTACGATCAGCGGGGGGAGGGGGTCGCATTCTTGCTGGAGGCGCTGAGGGAATCGTAGAACAGCTAAACTGCCGCTCCACCAGTGCTAGCGCGTTGCAATCGTCCGGTCTATGTCTACTCAGGACCTCCGTTGACGCGTCGATAAAGTCATCCCGTAAGACTAGTATCCCTGCTAGCTGTCCAGACGTCTCGGGTACAGGCGCCGTCGCCTCCTGAGTAACCGGATCCACCGACGTACCAGCAGCCGTCTGATCAAGTGGTGTTGTCTCCGCCAACAAGTCGGGCAACAGACTGGAACTCCCAGAGTGATTAAAAGCGGAATAGTGGCAATTCTGGTAGCGCAATACGAGAGGAGGGAGCCCAGGTGCCTCAATTTTTGCCGCTAATACTGCATCCATGAGGTCCATAATTCCCAGCGGATATTCCGCCGCCGTCACGACCCTCCGCCGATGGCGGGTGATCGTGGTGGGTACAAATTTACGGCATCGCCACGGGTGGGTCTGGCCAGTAAGAAACTCGATAACATAGATTGACTGTTGTAAAAAATTGGCCGCCATGCCGACCATATCGCAGCCCCCCATGTGTCCGAACCAACCAGAGCCGTTCGGGCGGACGGGCTGGTAGCATAGTCTTCGAGGTACCGTCGCATCTGCGAAGCTGATTCCTTGTGAGTCATCGTCGGCCAACCTCTGCTGACGCTAGCCAGAGCATGAACTCTATGATCGTGAGCATACTGATCCTCCGGATCCAGCGAGCCCGAAAATTTAATCCCCCGTTTAATGCAGGCTGTCAGTAGCTCCAGATGCCTGTCTGGACCGTCCAGGGACGCGTCCGTTGCCGCTTGGGCAATAGCCATGGCAAGACAATTACCAGTAGCTGGTGTGATTACCGGGTAAATCGCAAGTTGGGACGTTAACTCCGCTTCGTCCGTCGGGGCGTCTGTTGCTCGTGCTCGTACTGGCGTCAAAGCCTTGGGCAGCCGACCCAAATCCGCGACCAATTGTGAAAGGATCCTCTCTCGTTCCGCTTGAGAGTCATCAGCACTGGAACCGTCGTACTCGGAGCCGACCCACGTCCAGCCCCCTGTTGCTTCCGGGCCTTCTCGGAAGACGTAAGAAGCGAGTGCGTACCGGCCCCGTCAGATAGGCCCTTCGTTGGATTAAGTGCCCCGGCTGACCGTGAATGAAGCACCCTGATCTCTTCCGACGCATCCGAACTAGTTTTTGTCTCCTCGGCCCAGTCCTCACCATCCTCGCCTATAAGCGCCTGCCCTCCTGTCCGCACCTGTGAGGCCACCGCTGTTACCTGGCCCGTGGCCGCTTTAGACAAACCTCTCGATCGTCCCTTTTTTGACTGCTTGGTGATCCACGGCTGCGGTGCTTCTGGACGCGGATCTGGTTGCATGTGAGCAAACTTCTCCCCTTGTTCCGCTTGTGGAGCACTACTGGGGCTCGTAACCTCAGGAAGTGAAATAGCGGCTTGCGATCCTGATATTTGTCCTCCCGCGGGTGGCGAAACCGCTGCTTGAGCCAACTCCTCCGCTGCTTCTTGGAGCGCTAGGCGCCGCGCTGCCATCTCTTTAATTTCCTCGAAGCTGAGAAATGGTCCCGCAAGATCCTCGAGACCCTTGACGTCCTCCTCCATTACGGCTACGCCTCCTGGCCCGCGCAACTGAAGGTCGGTGAATGTACATCGCGCCAGCGTGTGGCCGAGGTTGCCACATTGAAGACACTGCAGCCGCCTGCCGACATTCGGATGCTTAACAATTATGGTCGTCCCGAACCATAACAACCGAACAATGCCGTCGAGGAAAGTCGGACAGCCCGCTAGTTTGAAGGTTACCCTCCATATTGTCGATGTCCTGGAATCGGGGGTATGCGTGTCCAGGTCCTCCATCACGAAGTCCGTCGAAAATCTTCTCCTTCAAAAAAGCTGCAATCCGGCCTATGTCGACAAACCGAGTTACGTTAAGAAGCAGAATCGTGTATTCCACTCGCCGGCCTTGTGGTTGTCCATTAAGCCCCCGCTGTCGGTCCCATATCGGGCCGGCCGCTGCTCGGTGTGCATTCAGGAGCCGCTATACTCCTCCCGAAAAAGGCACCCGCACTTCCTTGTGCTTCTCGGCAGTTTCTCTGGTAAAGAAATAGAAGTGAATCGACTTCGTTACTTGATCGTAGCTGATCGTCTTCGTCTGGCCTAGCATGTTGTGTAGCGCAGGTAAGTTTACTCGCGCCAGCTCCGCCGATTCCAGGATCCGCTCGGTGATAGCTTTCGTACTCTGTCGGGTAACCCGGACACCCCGAGAGCGCCCCAATTGCATAATCAATTTGCCTTCTACCTGAGCCTGAATCGTAGAAACCAGTCTGAGGCATCCCTCACTTCGGAGGATGTGCGGAAGAAAAGCCGGCATGTTGCGGCATGCTATGGTGCCCTCGACTAAACCCAAGACAATCTTCCATTCATCGTCTGTTCCCTTACGGACTTGGTGTTGTCCTGCCGGGGCTTGCGGCGACGCACATACAGCTCGGAGCCGCGCGATCTCCACCCCGGAGAACTTAGCGGGATTAAACATGTATTCCTCATGTTTCGCTTTTCGTGGCGGCGGTGGAGCCGCTGATGGAGTCAGGCCTGTGCGAACAACAGCCGCCCATTGATGGAGCACTGGCGCGTGCGCCCACTTATGCTGGCTCGCGAGTCTGCGTACTATCTCTCGGAAAGCCCACTTAGTGGTAAAAAGCTCCCGCGTAATGGTCGACGCTAGTCTTTTCCATTCCTCAAAGCGTCTTGTGGTGTTGACAAACGCTTGTTCAAAAAAAGCCTAGTAGACTGGTAGCTTCGGCTTCACTCAAAGTCGGGAAACGTTTTCTATCCGCCGGCAGCTCCTCGGAAAGAACTGGGACTGTCGCGTAGGCCTCCGCGAAAAGCTGCCTGATCGTTTGGATCCAGGCCTCGACGTGTCCGACATTCGGTGATTCCTTCATGTCCCCAACCAAAGCAGAAAACATGGCCTCTGACGAAACCCGCCGGATGGGGGCCTGTCGCGGATGAGGGGAGGGCGACTGGCCGTCCGTGGGGTCGGGCTCAGGAGCTGCCGGTGGCGCGGTCCCGTTGGACCTGTCACTGCCGTCCTAAGAGTTTACTCCTTTAACCGCCGAAGCGCTAGGCTCGCGGTGAAGGGGAAAGCCGACCCAAATGGACCGGCTGTGCCAAGGCATCCAATCGGCATGCCTTCGTCACCGAGCATGGGGTGGTCGTCATCAGCCGTCGGTCCCTGTGAATCCTCCTGGATGGCCCCTGGAAGCGGTAGTAAGGCCGATATGCTGGCGCCCGGCCTTGCCTCTTCCACCGGCTGAGTCATTCGACTCTCGTCGCTTTCCGTCGACGCGCAGGCTCTACCTGGACGAGGCACAGTAGGCTCCTCGGGTAGGGTAGATGCCCCTCCCGGGCCATCCCCACCTCCCGGGGGGAGATCTAGGGGCTGCATAGCGCCTGGACGCCGCTCGCTGTGAGCCAATGAAAACGGGTTTAAACTCCTCTGTGATCCGATAAGATCCCTGCGTCGCAAATAGAAGAGTGGAAACATCATTGCGATAAGCACAAATGACTGTAGCTGTAACGGGGTGAATCGTTACATAACAATTTATAAGAAATTGTTAATAGAATATAATTATAAGAGTTATATTCTCAGAATATTGTCATAAGGACAAATGTTCTGCAGCACTTACGAGTAGTTCCTAATTGGTTGATATAGGCCATTATATCAACCAACGAAGACGCGCCACGACAGACGCACGCAATGAGTGGTGAGCAGATAACCGATTTACACATTTGTATTTAGACATAGTTAGATGAAGATAAATAGTGATTTATTGCAGACATTAACTATTATAAATACAGTTCTACTTTTTACTTTAACCAAGTACTCGCTTCTTCTTACCGTCTTCCTCTGCACGTACGAGTGTACGTGAAGTTACGAGGCACTGCCTTATTCTGTCATCAGAATAAGTAGCTTGTACTGTCATCAGTACAAGCTTCAGGGTGCCCCGTTACACCTGGTTGCACTTGGTAGTCCGTCAAAGGACCGCGTTCACATCCAACATGAATATGTTGGATGATGAAGATGACCAAAGCTTTCACGCTACGCGTGACGGCTACTCCCATTTGAGCGATGTCGAATGGGATGCGGTTGAACGAATGGGTTCAACCATGGGCATCCATGCTGTTAGCGTCATGCTAGAGGCTCTCAATAGATATGCCCAACATGCATCTATCACCAAGTTCATTCAAAATGAACTTGACGCTGAACGCGAGAAAGTAGCCTTGCTTCACCAACAAGGTTCTCAACAAGCAGAGTTGTTGAGAGAACAGGGTGCTCAACAGTTTGAACTGTTGAGACAGCAGCAGGCTGCTGCTGGTGGGTCGATGCATTCGCGTCGACCCGAGACTTTGAAGATTGACATCTCTAAGTATAGGGGAGTCGAAGAGGACTCCCTCTTGAGATGGTTCGTCGAATTGGATGACACCATAAGGGCGCGTCGCATCGACGACGGAGATATGCAAGCTGCATTTGCCCAATCAAACCTGGCAGGACGTGCCAAGACTTAGGCACTGGGGCTCAAGTTGCACGGCATATATGCGTTTGGGTCGTTAGAAGTCTTAAAGTCGCGGCTCAGACAAACGTTTGAACCGCCTAGAGCTGAGTTCAGAGCTCGAACCGAACTCTTGAAGCTCAAGCAGGGTAAGCGTGATGTGCACGCTTACGCGCAACATATACGACATCTTACGAGTTGTATAAGTTCCAATCCGGTGGATGAACACACGTTGGTTTCGGTGTTCATACAGGGTCTTGCGGATGGTCCCGTCAAGACTCACCTGTTCCGGCTTGAACTAGATTCACTAGAACAAGCCATTTCCATTGCGGAGCAGGAAGACTTCAGTCTGAGACAGGCTCGCGCCAGCTCGACATCATATCGTCAACCGAGACGGTATGACAACGGAGGTCCAGAGCCGATGGAACTCTGTTATGTAGAGAGCGAGAAGGCTCGCTCTACAGGCTACAAGAAGTTGCAGAGATGCAACAGATGTCAAAAGACAGGACACTACGCTTACGAGTGTAGTTCCCCTCGTCCAGTGTCTCGCGACACTGGGCGTAGTGACCGTCCACCCATGAGAAAGGGGCAGGGACGAGGGTCCGCTGTTGGTGCAAAGACGCAACAACGGGATGAACCGTAAGAAAACGGACAGGATCAGTAGGTGCGGAGCACCCTACTGGTCCAGCAACGTCAAGAGAATTTGTAGGCCTCTCGATGAAGGTTGCTCCCAACACACAGACATTGTGCGTTGCTGCTCTAGGTAATGAGGTCTCACTCATTACCTTGAAACTCGAAGTGACGAATAAGTTGTCCCTTCGAGCTCTAGTCGATTGTGGGGCGTCCAACAATTTTGTGCGACGCCAATCGCTAGAAGATGGTCACTTCAAGTTCAGTGAATGTGACACACACCCTACGAGGATGACGGTACGTCTTGCGACAGGCGCATCCGTAACCGTCATGAAGCGTATAGTGAAGATCCACTATACGCTAGAAGATACCCAATATGATGATGACTTCATCGTATTGGATTTGGATGACAAATTTGATGTCATTTTTGGAATACCGTGGCTCAGAAGGTACGAACCACGGGTAAACTGCCAACATCGGACAGTAACGATGCCTGCCGCTTGTTCATCAGATGGCCATCTGATGAACGTTTTTGAGCGTCCACAAGCGTTTGGATGTACTACGAGTGAGTGCGATGGCCTCACTTGTGGTACGGTCGTTAGTACGACCGCACAAAACCTTATTGTACCAAACGGTTACACTTCGGAGCAAAGTTCCGGCGGCTGTGAGGAAACACAGGCTGCGCCGAAGGTCCACCACTCGAATAAGTCGGGTGGACTGGGACAAAGATGTATTCCTAGCGGGGAACATCTAGAAGAGAAACAATCGATCTCTCAGGTTAAGCGAAACGATAATCCTAGATCGACTGGAGAGTCTTTCGTAGAGGATCTCGCTGTGGTTGCGCAACCCCAGCTAGAGGAAGTAAAGGGAATAAGTCCCAAGATTACAAATACGGCGGAAATAAGTTCCTCGAAACCCGCGGGAATAAGTCCCCGGGAAGCCGAAGGAATAAGTCCTTCGAGGCCTGAGGGAATAAGTCCCGAGGAAATGACAGAGACATTGAATGTCAAAGTCAATAACGGATCAAGTGTAGGCGCTTATACAATTGATCTGATTGCGCCTCCGAAGTTGACTTCGGAGATCACTCAGTTGCCAACGCTCGAACATAAAAGGTTCTTGCGTGATCTGCGTAGTGGCAAAGTCAAGCAGATCTGCATACTCGTCGCTGACGACGAGTGTGTAACCGACATAAGGTCAGCAACAGTGTTCACTGAAAACGAGAGAGTTCTCAGTAGTTCATCTATGGACGAAAGTGTCCTAGATGAAAAGACACGAATTGAGCGGTATGACTCCCAATCGTGGGAATCGCTCAAGACAAATCCTCTCTATGAAGATTTGGTTGAATTCAAGGATGTATTCCCTGAAACTGTTCCGTGCGAATTACCGAAGGATAAAGGTATTCGACACGAGATCGAGCTTAAACCAGGCTCGAAGTACTGTGTCATGAAGCAGTGGCCACTGCCTTGTGAACAAGTACTTGCGATCTACAAGTTCTTTGCCGATTGTTTAGCTGCGGGCCATGTGAGGGAATCAACTTCCCCACATAGCTCTCCGACCTTCTGTGTGCGAAAAGAAACAGGAGGGTGGCGGATTGTGCATGCATTTAACAAGTTGAATGCTGCAACGGTACCGGCTCAGACACCGATACCAAGGAAGGACGTAATCATTGATGGTATGTCAAAGAGTATCATCTTTAGCCCATGGATTTGATGGATGGCTTCTAAAATCCTTATGCGAGAACGGGATATACCCTATGCCGCAGTGAGCACGCCTAGCGGCATGCTCTGGGAATGGCTAGTAATGCCACAAGGGCTTGGTAATGCCCCTGCCACGTTCAACAGATGTGTATCACATCTGTTGAGACCAGTACGAGAATTCGCGACGAGTTATTTCGATGACGTATTCATCCATAGTCGGGCTATGGATGGAAAGTCGGACGTTGAGGTTCACAGGTACCACGTCCGACATGTTCTTACAATCATGCGAAAGCATCAATTGTATGCTAACCTCAAGAAGTGTATATTTGCAGCAAGCGAAATACCACTTCTTGGGTGCATCGTTGGTAAGAACGGTGTACGTCCTGATCCCGAAAAGATCAAGGCGATCACCGACTGGCCTGTGCCGGTTGATGTCAAAGGTCTTCGAAAATTCCTTGGGCTAGCGGCGTATTTGCATAAGTATTCACGCAATTACGCCGAGATGACTGCACACCTCTCTCGTTTGTTGAAAATGAACGAGAGGTGGTTATGGAACGCTGAATGTCAGCGCTCCTTTGAGGGTATCAAGCAGAGCTTGATACAATCCCCAGTCCTAGCAATAGCCGATCAGGACAGGCCATTTCATGTGGTCTGTGATGCCAGCGTTTTCGCAATCGGCTGTGCATTAATGCAGTACGATCTTGAAGGCGTTGAACGCGTCGTCTGCTATCAGTCGCGTCAGCTGCAACCAGCTGAGCGGAACTATCCAGTGCATGACAAGGAACACCTTGCCATGAAGTGTGCACTCGCGAAGTTCAGAGTCTATCTCTTAGGAGATAGACCCTTCATTGTTTACACTGACCATGCGTCATTACGCACGGCAGTGAACAGCCCGCACCTTTCACAACGAATGGCGCGGTGGTTGTCATTCTTTGCGGAATATAACTTTACGGTCGAGTACAAACCAGGACGACTTAATGTCGTCGCTGATGCACTCTCACGTCGTCCCGACTTTGAAACAGTCGCGAAACCCAACAGTGAGACAGTCACTGTTGCGGTTATGACGTCCTCAGTCCCATCTACAACGTTGTATGATGATGTGAGGCGGGCATACGCCCAAGATGGTGAGATTGTGAAGTTGTTGTCACATCTCTCCCAACCATCTCGAGAATCGTTGAAACGATTGTCGCCTGCGTATCGATCTGCATCAGATCGATACACTACTCGTAACGGTTTACTGTATTATACAGCCGTTTCTGGTGACACACCACGTGTTGTCATTCCAGATGATACTAATCTGCGTCTGCGGATCATGTTCGAGTATCACGATGCTCCTATAGGAGGACATCGTGGCCGAGAGAAAACATATCTCACGGTAAGTCGAGACTTTTACTGGCCCCGCCAGTATCAGTTTGTGCGAAAGTATGTTCGCGCATGCGAAGTCTGCCAACGAGTGAAGTCAAGTCCTTCACTGCGTGCACCTTTACAGCCTCTACCAGTTCCGGCAGAGTGCTGGGAATCCATCTCAATAGATTTCGTCTTCGGGTTACCCAAAGACGCACGCGGGAATACGGGTATTCTCGTATTTGTTGACAGATTCAGCAAAATGGTACACCTTGTGGCTGTACCAGAGACAATCACGGCAAGTGGCTGTGCTTGTGTCTTTATTGACACCATCTTCCGACTTCATGGGTTGCCCCGTGAACTCGTATCAGACAGAGATCCACGATTCACTGCTGATTTCTGGCGTTCCGTGTTCAAATCACTCGGAACGCGCTTGAAGATGTCAACATCTGATCATCCAGAGTCAGATGGTCAGACGGAACGTGCCAATCGTGTCCTTGAAGAGATACTTCGAGGATACGTACACTCCTTTAAGAGTTGGAGTGAGTTTTTGCCAATGGTAGAGTTTGCCATTAACAACTCGGTGCATGCGTCCACGACACATACACCGTTATACGTGAATGGCTTAAGCCATCCGCGTGTACCCAACTTACTAGAGTGTAACTCTGGTTTAAGGGGGGAGGGACTCGCGCGAGCAAAAACCGATTTGGTTCACGCTCATCACGCTCTGACGAAGAAGTCGTTGCGTTTGATGCCGATATCGATAACATCGACATCGAAGAAGATGATGCCAGTGAGAGTGCGGAAGCCCTCACTGAAGAAAAGGTTGGTGTTGCTGCAGTGCGCTCACAGCGCACTGAAGCTAACGAGTCATCAGATGAGTTCATACTGGCTCGTGAAACGGTAGTCCGTTTTGTGCAAGACTCCATCGCCGAAGCGGTGGATAAGCAAAAGAAAAACGCAGACAAGAATGGAAGGGCAAACACTCTTTTATTTAATAAAGGTGACTTAGTCCTACTGTCTACGGTTAATCTACCAAAGCATGTAGTGACTAACTTGGGTAGCAGTAAACTACTACCCAAGTACATCGTCCCATTTCGTGTATTGCACCGCCTAGGCAATGCATACACGATCGAGTTACCACGTAAGATGCGAACGCATCCCACGTTTACGTTGGTCGGCTTAAGCCGTACCATCAGTACGCTGCTTCTTCCGATGAAGAACGCCCTTGCGCTCAAGCATCTCGCAAAGAGCCTTGTGCTCCCGATGGTGAGCATCAACAAGGGTCTGAAGAGCAGCTATCTCATCCCGAGACCGATCAACAATCCCACGAGCTACCCTTAGCTCGTCACGAAGAGATGTCAGAGATCTCTCGTTCTCAAGCTGAGCAAAGGCAAACTTAGCTCGATGCTTCGAGGCAGTGTCCGCCATTTGGAGACGCCTATTCCGCTCATGTTCGAGATCGTCGCGTAACCCTTGCGTTACGCGATCAAAGAAGCTCTCGGGAACACACCGATCCACATGATCGTGTGGAGAGCGTCTTTCCTCCTCCTCCACCTCCATTAGAGGACTCTCGCGGTGGCCAGCGCTATCTAGTTGAGCAGCTGTTGAACCACCGCGATGTGAACGGACGTCGGACGAGTTATCTCGTCCGGTGGCGCGGCTATCCCCCGTCCTGGGATTCTTGGGAGCCCCGCTCCCAACTGATGATCGACGTACTGGGTCTGGTTGAGCAGTATGACGCGGCACATCCTGTGCCGCAGAAGGACCGCCGGAGAAAGTCTTCCCGGCACGGTCGTAAAGGAATTCAGGTTGTCAATCCCTTCGTACATCTCAGTAGAGATACGTACGCGCCACCACGGGTTGGTAAGGAGGTAAGCCTCCTTAGGTGCTCGTGCAGAGTTGTTTACACAACACGGGCACGAGTCTCCCCAAGAGAGGCAGGGTAATCCTTTCTCCCTTGACAGACGATGCAGCTTGTAGCGTGCACCTGTCGGGGTTCGCTTTTCAAACTTATCACGAGCTTTGATAAGTTTGTCGTTCCAAGCGTCACGACCTACATCCTCAAGGTTATGGATGTAGGCGTTCCACACCTGAAGTAGTGAAGGACCATCACGTTTGTGATTCCCACTGTACCATCGATGTCTAAAGAAAGCATCGATGAAGAATTCATGTTCAGCGCGATAGTTTTTCGCGCTGGGGTCAAGGTGATGGATCCTTGACGATCGAAAAATCGTGTTCGATAACGATCACTCGTCGTCGCCGACAAGTGATCCATGACGGATTTTGGAGGCATCCATGCCTTCTTTTCTGGAGCGAGACGCAAGACATTGCGGTCCCGCTCTTCCTGCGACGTGCCGACAGAAGTACTGGCACCTTGCTGTGAAGTGGTGTCCATAGGAGAACCGACACCACTATTAGCGCCCGAGTCTCGCGACCTCGAGCGCCTTTGCTTGGGGGATGGTTCATCTGATTCATCAGATGAACCAAAGATGCTACGACGCATAGCATCATCCATGCCACGCTTGGCAGGCGGCTTGGATTCAATCGCCGTCGATACGGACCGTCATCCGTATCAGGAGAGTACGAGACACCGAGCTCGTACTCTGTGAAGACACGAGTGTCTTCATGACCAGCGCCTGCATCACCAAGTGACACAGGCTGGGTCGCTTCAGCAACCGATGAGACATCAGTTGCTGTTGTTTCTGCTTCGGCGTCCGCACAGAGACGTGCGGACGCGCTCTCGGCGGCCTTGCTCGCGCATCGCATGGGCTTGTTAACCATGCGATGAGATGTTGGAAAGTGGACGCGGACCAACAAGTGCAAACCCTGTCCCAAATGATTTGGGACGAGTATCCGTTCAGTCAATCAGTCACTAAAGTGACTGATGGTTAGGGGGGGGTGATGTAACGGGGTGAATCGTTACATAACAATTTATAAGAAATTGTTAATAGAATATAACTATAAGAGTTAGATTCTCAGAATATTGTCATAAGGACAAATGTTCTGCAGCACTTCCAAGTAGTTCCTAATTGGTTGATATAGGCCATTATGTCAACCAACGAAGACGCGCCACGACAGACGCACGCAATGAGTGGTGAGCAGATAACTGATTTACACATTTGTATTTAGACATAGTTAGATGAAGATAAATAGTGATTTATTGCAGACATTAACTATTATAAATACAGTTCTACTTTTTACTTTAACCAAGTACTCGCTTCTTCTTACCGTCTTCCTCTGCACGTACGAGTGTACGTGAAGTTACGAGGCACCGCCTTATTCTTGTCGTCAGAATAAGTAGCTTGTACTGTCATCAGTACAAGCTCCAGGGTGCCCCGTTACAGTAGCAAGTAGCAAGATTATTGTATCCGCGTATCATCACGATGTCAACAAAGTGTGTTGCTCAGTGTTTTAGTATCTTTTGAAGCTCATGATGTCGTCAATGTGTGTGTACTTTCGTGTGATTCAGAGCAAATAGCGGTACTGAGACAGATCGGGCAGCAACATGAATTGGATTCGTGGCAATTCAGTGGCATCACTAGACCTACGAACATCAAATAAGTCATAGCTGGGTCCACCTACACTGGCAGACTGAGGACACTAAGATCGGTACCACGCCAATGGCGATTGCTGTATGAGCAAATGACGATACAATGTTCACACTGCAAATAGTTAGACGAACCCTTTGCAGCAATGGCACGTAAAAGGAGGGACCCGCGCTTCTTCAAGCAATCGATCTACAGTGAGCAAGTTAACCAAAGGTCAAGGTCAAGTGCGATCGATGAACAAGTAGGATACTTCCAGACGTATTTGCGCTTCGAACATATCTCAACGCTGTGTGCTCAGTTTGGAAGCCAGCAGGTTGTCGGCTGAGTTAACTTGCCATTTCCAGGTGTGTCACCAGGTGGACGGTGGTGGTCAACGTTGCGGACAGAAGAAAACAAGCCAGTTGCTTGTGCTCTTGCAAAGTGCGTCGACTCGAGACGCCCAGCACCATACTGGTCCTTGAATTTTGCATGGCGTAAGAATGTGATCGAACCGTACACCGTCCGGGATCTAGGAATCGAGCTATCGGCTAGAAAAATCTGACGGTGGCGATGATGCACCAGGTCAGTAGTGCACACGTTCCAAGTAGCACGCAGCTAAAGGGGTACTAGCTGCTTTCGATTACGTTGCGGGTAGGCAAAACGTCTTGTCTGCAAAGTGATCGATAACAATATGCTGCCGGCGCTACAACGCTTCCCTGAATGAGCAGCAATGTTCCAGTCACCTCGACGTTCTCCGGCCGAAACCAGCACTAGAAGTTGTGCTGAGCAGCACAACCGCAGCAGTAAACGTATTGGATGTACCTCGCCTTTGGGCCCAACCGGTAAATTATCCAAAAAGGTCACGGAATTCACGACACCCGCAGGTACAAGAATAAGCAGGTCGGATTGCCTTAATTTTTCTCCAACGCCGGTAGGATCAGAAAGCGCAACAGATAGTAGAGCTCAGCAGCAGCCAAACCTACCGACGTAGCGGTATTCATACGACACCACGGTTGTCGATATTCACCATTCGGTCTTGTCATTTTCTTACAGCTCAATAGAACGACAAGATGTCGATAACCCAAGCACGTCGAGCGAGCGACCGTCCAACCGTCACTATACACTCCCGGTAGACAGCTAAGCTGCCAATTTCTCAGCAGCCTTTGCATCTTTCTCGACCAGCACCTTTTTCAATCGGTTCACCTGTGAAGCAAATGCCTGATTGCACTTGTCCGTGAACGGCATGCGCATGTCGTACGCGTCTTCACCGTCAGCATAATACGCCTTCTCAATGGCATACACCCTGCCACACAGTCACGTGGATGGACGACACAACAGACAGGACATCAGACACTATCATCGATACATCCTGTAGAGTCTCCTGCAACGTACTGGTACTTGAGCGTCCGGCGGTACAGATGAATAGCCGCGACGTTGCTCTCCCGGACGTGCAGTGACACGTACTCAGCGCCGAAACTCTCCACCATCGCACGCTCTGCAACAAACCCCACAATCACATGCCAAAAAACACCACAACCAGTCAATACAACGCTGTCGTTATTATTGCTGCTGGAAGCACAAAAAGCCACGTACGGGCTGCCTGCATGAGCTTCGTCGCGAGTCCGCACTTGCGGTGCGTCCGCAGCACGGCTAGCGACGTGATGTGGCCGTGGGGCACCGACGCTTCCTCTTCCCTGGTATGACATTACAGAGAGACAGCTGTCAAGATCGTGTCCCTCTCAAGAGGAATAAAGTCACGTGGACACGTACATTTTGGCCAAGACGTAGCCGACAATCTTGCGCTCGCGATCCTCCGCCACGTAGAGGAGCTGGGGCCACGTCATGATGTGGTAGTAGTAGTACTTCATCTGGTAGTTCTCTGGCAAGCACCATAGATTCGAGTTCTGCACCTCGAGCAGGTCATTTGCCTTCTCACAGAATATAACAAATGAGAGGTCAAGAAACCCCACCCACGACAATCACTCATCGTCAGTCCTTAGTACTAAATCCCATAATAACCGTCTGCAGCAGCCCAGTTCCTGCGACAGTGCGCGTGGATAACTGCGTCCACGTCTACAGTACTGCATCGAACTGCTCGGTCGCCGTACCGTTGCGTTCCGGATCGACACCATACCAGCCGAGTGGACTCGATGTGCGTCGTAGGTTGTGGATGGCGGGGGGAACCCAATGCGGACTCGTCTTAAGTTCGATTTCAGTCGTTGCTTTTTGCGTGGATAGAAAAGACAAGAGAAAACATTCACTCTGTGCCTTCCGCACTGCCCGAGAGATTTAGTGTTCAATTTACCCGCTGCCCGGCACCTCAAAGACGTTTCCGTTCGCTCGCTTTCTCCCTGTTTCCCTTCTGTGATCTGTGATATCGCGCGCTCGTGGTCGCCTATAGCACAGAAAAGATACCGAGCGACGAACGCGTCGAGTCATGAGTGAAGCGGCTGTAGACGATGCCCAGGCGCTGCGCCTTAAGCTCAAACTGCCGCGTTCCATGTCGACGTCGTCAGAGGCCGAGAAGAAGCTGCTCATTGGCGCACGGGGAGGCGCGGCGGTCAAGGAGCTCCTGAGCACGGCGCCCAACATTGAAGTGGCTATTCGGGAGTTCCAAGCCGCGCATGGCGTCGCAGAGGCCCACGCGCAGCTGGTCGTGCGCAAGAAAGAGAGCGAGTGCAAGGAGACGGAGGCGGCAACGACGTTGACTCCTGCGATGCAGCTGCTGGATCTGCTGCAGGTGCCACGGACCAGTTTGTACCATTCGCTACTGGACCAGATGAAGAAGGAGATGCTGCTGCGCATTGCCGACTTGCCACAGAGCGACCTGCCTCGCGTGCTGGAGCAGACGTTCCCGTACATTGAGTTTCGAGAACTTCGCGCGATTCCAATTGCGGTCTTGGCTCGACAGGAAGAGACACCGGCGTTGTATCTACGTGAATTGACCGAGAATCGACGTATTCTCGCCGAGTTGCCCGTCCACGTGCGGAGGAAGATTTTACAGGTTGATAAACGAGAGCTCCAGCTTCTGGTGGAGGAGTGTACCCGTGAGTATGTGACTGAGCAGTCGAAGTGGTATCTGGACCATCCGATGTCGGACGCAGTCAGTGCGCAGTGCTCCCCAACATGGAGGACGAGCGCCGATAATGTACGACACGGTGTGCCGAACAGGAAGCGCAGTGCAGAAAGTTCGCCTGGAGGGAGTCTGTGGAATGTCTCGAGTCACGTTCCGCCTTCCGCTGATACGGGCAGCTCGTCGTCATCGGCAGCATCCGGATTTGGCGGTAAGCGATGTCCTTTGTACTCGCCGGAAGAGCGTCGACGCAACCATCCAGCACTCATGAAGCTAGTCGACATGTTTGGTGACTCGGAAGCGTTGTATCTGTCGACGATAGAGATCTGGCGTGGCTACTTGGTGGCTGCGACCATTCCTGGTGGCGCCGTGATGAATCACCCGAAAGAATATGTGGACTATGTCTCGCTTCTTGGTGCGATGCGCAATGATCTTGCGAACCTTCACCGTGACAGGACAACGACATTATTGCGAACTGATCCATTGCACAAATTTATATGGTTCTTGGATCGGGCGCTAAAGAATTGCACACTGGAGATTGCCCAACTTCACGAGCTACTAGGATTTATCGGTCGACTGCGCACGTCGGACTTGCCGACGGACAAAAAGTTTCGAAAGAAAAGCGGCGCAGAAGAGGAACAAGAGAGTTTTGAAGTCGTGTTGGGACCACCCCCAGTGGAGGAATTGCTTGCAGTACTTGACAAGATTGTCAAACTCGATGCTCGGCTGATCTTTGCGGAGCCAGTGCCAGATGATGTACCGAAATATCGGGATATTATCAAGGATCCCATGGACTTGTTGACAATGCGAAGAAAGGCGAAGCGCGGCAAGTACAAGACAATAGATGCCTTTGCATCGGATTTTAATCTAATGATTCGCAATTGCATGACCTTTAATCCGGATACTACTATCTTCTACAAGGAAGGAAAACGAATTGGCAAGCGGGGCAACGAGATAATTGAGCGAAACGCTACAGCTTTGCGTGGCGAGCCTCAACGGATCCGCTCTAAAAAGCGTCGCAAGATGGGAGCCGGTCCGACGAGCGAAGCTCTGAGCATGCTCACCAGCACGGGAGTTGTGACAATTAAGGACTTTGGTGATGTGGACCAATCTGGAATGATTCCTGAGGGTGTGTGTGATGAGCAGTTGGCGGACGTGGCATTAGTTCTATCGGATCCGGTTGTGAAACAGCTCATTTGCAATGCATTAATGAAGAATTTAGTGATGTGTTGGCAAATGAAAGAGCTGCCTACTGACAACCTAACATGCCGTGCACTCGTGCAACTTCTTCAAATTGGCAACCCGTCGAGCGTACGTCGCATGATTCGAAAGCAAGACTATGTGCTACGTGCTCCGCAAGTAGTCACGATGCGCGTTGTGCTTCCGCTTCTATTACGCACGATGGTGGAATTTCGAGTGTATTATGCGCTTCCCGTTAGTTTGGAGCGCGATGTAGAGTTGGCTGCAAAGGGAGATGTTTTAAATGCCGTTTTGTGGAACAGTTTGCTGCGCGCGAGTTCGGCTATTCGCGCTATAGCCAAGTCGTTTGCTGTACAATGTTTGGTGGATCATCAGATTGATGCAGGATCGCGGCTGCTGCATTACCTGCTTTTAGCTGAAGAGGAATCGCTTTTGCGTGATCGTGTCTTGCTCCATGCAGTAACGGAAGTAGTGCTGGAGCAAGTAGGAGTGGCTACTGCAAGCGTTGGCAGTAACAGTAGTAGTGAATTTGCGTCGAATTCTGCTGAAAATGGTGAAGTGACGATGACGTTGAGCGAACAGCTGCAAGGTCTGGAAGTGTGGAAACAGATCGTCGATTGCTTTTTTGTTGACGTTTTAGCAGCGCGTATCCTAGCAGCTAAGAAAGCGACCGGATGCATTATTCGTTTTGCTGAAGGCGCAATCGACCAAGTCGAGGACGCACACAGCAGCACTGTCGCCTCCGACACCGCGTTGTCGAAGAAGCGCAAGCGACAGCGAGTGGTTCGAAGCTTTCCAAGTCCGGTATTTCATGAGAAGACAGTGATGATGCTGTCATCTTTGTTTGCAACGATTGGAAAAGGAGGCTCTGCGGCTGGCGTGGATTTAATGATCACTTCATATCTCACGAGAACTTTGAGTGTATTGCGCAACAACTGCTTGTGCTTGGAGGACTTTGAAGCACTATGGAACAGTTCTGTATTTTATGGTTGTCGGCACTATTATGAGCTAATGCTGGCCAAATGTCCTGCCGTGCGAAAGGAGTTATTTGCTGTGGTACCATCGGACATTAAAACGGGAGCTAGTGATGTGCACCAGGCAACGCTCGGGGCTGCTGCCGATTCTGTAATGCAAGGAGCCGACACTGACGCACAACGTGCCACCACGACCGCTGCATCTGATGCTACAGTGCAAGGCACAGACACTGACGCACAAAATGCCACCACGACCACTGCTGCTGATGCCGCAATACAAGGCGCAGACTCTGACGTAGACTGTACGACTGGAGCGAGTGCAACAATCACGTTGGACAATGCTGAAGCTGAAATTGGTGGAAGCACTGGACCTGAGAAGCAGGTGGACGTAAAGAGCGCGGTCCAGGCTGACGGCGCCAACGTCACTTCTGAAGCCGATGCCACGAACGTTGAATCAAAGTCTGAAGATGCAAGTTCTGGAGTTGTGACGGAAGCTGTTGGCGCTCAAGGCGCGAGCACAGAAATAAACATGACAGACACAGACGCCACACATTTGGCTCCTTCCTGTATGACCGACATAGACGATGTTGAAAACCGGAAATCTGATGCTGGCTCTATAGTTGAGCCTAAGCACAACGGCAATTTAACGGTGGAAGAAGTCGTAGAAAAATCGGAGCTGAGAGGCGGCAATAAAACTTCCGACATTGAAGTTTCTGCTAGTATTGCTGCCAATGCCCCCGGTACAGCACCAGCACTCGAGTCCGGTACTGAATCGACTGCTTCATGTAGAATGCAAAATTACGATGTTCTGGATGATCACAACAAAGTAGATGTCATTGTGGATAGTAATGGCGCGCCGAAGGACGTCGTCGTGGAGCCGGTGGTAAATTTTGTGGAGCACGATGGCGATAAACAAGATGGGTAAGGAAATGAATGCGTTCAGGACGTAACGGTTGGGCTTGTACACAATCATGAATATAGTGTCGTTCATTCCTGCAGGACGGGGACCTCGATAGCAGAAACGTCGGTCATTTGGTTGAGTGCAAGTGTGGATCCATTGTAGGGACAAAGCTTGAGCAACCGCAGCAGTATAACAACCTCTCACTTGTGGTGCAGACGTACCAGGTGCGGTTCTTGTCTGTTAGTGATAGAGCGAAGCGCTCACCCATCAGTGTTTACCAGGTCTTCTGACACCGTTCAACGTACTGGTCGTAGCAAAGAACAACATCGTCACTGCAACTATCGATGGGGCTTCCCTCAGCCGAACGTAGTAAGCAAAGGCAATTGTCTGCAATTATAATGATACACAACGTCTCAAGCGACCGACAACGACGTATGTAGGAGTATTTGCCGAACACAGGTTGGCGATCTGGCCCAGTGCATTATACGACCTCAGTCAGGCCCAGTTGATGTTCTAGTTTAGTGCTGCCAAAGTTTGACCGCTTCTATCAGGGCACGCTCGGCTCGTTGAGTGTGCATGCAGCCAGGGGAAACGCGCAGTATCAATGTACGATTGAGATAGCCATCGGGTGCTTGTCCTCGCAAAAGTGTCATTTTACAAATTTGCATTCGGGGGTAGCTGTTATCGCGATGGAATCTGCGGCTTTACCTGATGTTACAAGCCCATCGACCAAACTTTGGCTGGGTCTGCATCGGATATCAAGATTGAACGCGGGACTAGCGCTGTTTCTATGCATACGGCTGGTATACGCCCGGGAAGCAGCGGCGGACCAAGGGATTATGTCACTTCTGTACAGAGCGAGCTTTCTAATTATGAGACTGGATGGAAGGTTTTGCGTCCACAACACGTTCAAGGAGCGCTTGCCTGGCCACACATCCTCTTAAAATCTCCGAGTTTTGCTTCATGTTCAGCACGGGCGCGGGTGCAGATGCCTCCTCGATCATGCAGCCGCTCGTGATCACACAACACCGGAAATGATTTATGGTGGCTGTGGTCAATAGCGTTAATCTCGTGAAAACTCTGAAGAAAGCAGATTGGTGTTTCATTCTTCACACACGCAGCCTAGGCTGCTTCCAGTCGGCAGTATACATTAGAGCAGGCCGACAAGAAGTCCAAGGTCAGCATGATGTCGAAGTGCTAAAACGTGCGCTTTCTTCTCAATGCAAAGTGACGACAACGTTATCGACTAGCTGCTTGCTGCAAGACACTGCAACAACATAGCCATTTACCTTTCAGCAAGAGTGCGAATTATCCGTGGCCACAAATGCATGATTGCAGACCAACCTCGGCAACTTCCAATCCAATTCGAAATATAGCCTCGCACGAGCTCGATGCCAGGTACGATATTCCAACTTGCTGTCTAGGTGACGTACGCGTCACTCATGCCCAACAAAGTAGCTCCTAATTCTTCGAAGGCATCGGGACTCATTCCAGCCCGCGTGAACTCATGCAGCGTACGTTTGTCCCCTCTAGCCGCAAGTTGCGCTAAGGTTCGCAGGTAAACTCCTGTTCGACTGGAAAGTTCCAGCTGAGAGATCGCATCAACAGACGAGGTTTGCAGCGTCTGAGGACAAAGAGGTGCCAATAACGTAAGCGGCACAACATCGGACCAATGCAACGCAACCTTCCGCGCCGAAATCGGGCAAGTATCGATGGCAGAGCGTAACGACGAATAGCCGGCAAATGCTCCACGAAAGTAAAGCCGTCGGTAGTACTTCTTGTTGGTGTGGTCTGCGTTGAGTCTACAAGCAGAGGAGCTCTGTTGAATGACCGGAAGGAGAGAGCAGCTCCGAAATGGATCGTCTGCCATAAAGCTGTTGCGACCTACTTCATTGGCCACGCTGTCGCAGATACTACGAAGCAGTAGTATCGGGTCAGCTGTGTGCGGGAACGATGCAGAAATTTCCGCGACTTTCATGCTCGACTGGAACCCCTCCATTATCTCATGCACCGGTCGACCCCGGTGAGCTGACATCGACACTTCGAGTGCAGTAGCCACAACAGAAGAAACATCAGCACAGCTTGACCGGTCGAAACTGAGCTGCGGAAAAGCTGAGTCGGTCAACGACGTTGACGACATGGCCACAGGCACCACAAGGTGACACACGTCCGACAGTAACGCCATGGACGACGCCAGGTTCACACGCTTCCTTGCTTCAATCTTTACACGGTCTTGTGCCTCTGGTGCAGTTCGAAACGGCGCATCGTCATTTGCAGTGACCATCGGATAACTCCAATCGTTACCAACCATCACGGTCACTGCACCCGGACACTCTTCCGCAATGTACGTCATCACTTCATGCGCCAATCCTCCCCACGACGAGTCCATGTCCACCAGACTCTGCACCACTTTCAGCTGGTCACAAGTCTCTAAAACTGTCCGCACGCGGTCTTCTACTTGCTCGAGCGTCGCATTACCAATGTTTCCTCCGTTCGCCACTGAACACCCTTCATAGAAGTTGTGCAAAGACATGTGTGCACGAAAATCCTCCACCTCGACGAGGTTGGGCTCGCCCAGTCTCCCCCAGCTCCAGAGCCCATCGTCAGCTCCTCGTTCAGCCACTGCCGACTGGTCGTACACCTGTACATGTCCGTCCCTCGTTCGACACAACAATTCCAAGTCTGGTAAATATCGTGGTAGGCAGCACCTTCCAGTAACAAAATTCACGTGAAATATAACAACACAGACATGGTCCTACCACAGCGCATGGTCTTCTTGCTGCTTCAGAGCAGCGCGGACGTGGCGGCGTACACGCCCTTTGGCTTCAAACGCCAGCACATGTGGCTTCCTGAAGTCTTTATTGGACTCTTGTATGGCCAACCAGTGCGTGCCGATAGTCGTGGCAGCCGTGCCGAATTGCAGACGCAGCGTCTCGCCCTCCATGTGCGACCACCAAATGAACCGCAAGTTATGAGAATGGCTACATTGAAACTCGACTAATTTTAGAGCTGCTAATTTTGGAATGCACATGTCAGAGCGGCTGTAGGATGGAACCTTGAAAGATCGAATCAGCTAAAGTGTGCGTGCGGGTCTGAAATTACGCGTGATTCTTACACGTGAAGCACGCGTGACCAGTCTGTTGTTTGTCAAAAGCCAAATGAACCCACATAACCTATTGTGATCCTCACCCGGGAAACAGTGTCCGTCCATCGGGGCATCCGTCTGTATTGATTTGTACAATACCGAGTGCTGAAAGGGCGAGCTCAACGCTTGAGATTGGTGTCAGGCATCGAGTAGAGAGGCAATGGAGTGCTCGATCCTCTGCGTTTCATAGTACGACTAAACACGATAGACATCCGATATCGCTACATTAGATCGTGAGCTCCCCATGACTGACTACTGCCCACTTAGTCACACCTCGTTGGTTCTTGGATCTGTAATAAAGAGCGGGTGAATACTGCATGTTTAGCATCTTCACTCTCCTCTGAGAGTGCGTAATTCTCTTTTGACGAGCGGCTGGCATACCGAGTTCAAATGGGAATGCAGCTCTATGTAGAGCTCTCATAGCAGCTCTTTGCGTCGCGCAAAGGCAATCTGTATCGTTTGACCGGAAACTAAGCTACTAGCAGTAGCAGGACGTATTGCCATCGTGTTCTCCAGCTCTTGGCGCACATGAGCGCCATCATTGTCGAGAGAATAATGGTGTTCACTATCAGAATCACATCTTCGAGTAACATGTGGTACATGTCGGGCGCTATTCGTGGGGATAAAAGCTCAATGTCGCGACTCGTTGCAATACTACTGCATGTTGTGCTGACACCGATCAGTCGACAATGGTCCACCTCAAGCCACAACCACTGCTTCCATCCCGAGCGTGTCCGACTTGAGCACAATCAGAACAGGCAGCTCGTGACGATGACAGTGTTTACTGGTCATTCTTCAAGTCGTTGAGTCGTATTGATCGATTGGAATACAACGTCTGAGCGCAACGGCTTCTCGTTGGTGCTTTGTGGTGTTGTGAAGATCTAGGGCATCACTTGAGGGCAATGCTACTCGTTGCAAGCAGTACGGTCTGTATACTACGTGGCTACGTGCGGTTCATTTAGTTGAGACATTACAATGCTAAGGAGAGTTTCACCTAGACCTCCGACATCGCTCTGTTTGGGACAACGGCTTTGCTCTCGAGCGTTTGGGGTAGCAGAGGACGACTGCGCTGGTCCACGAGCTCCCGCTGTAATTGTTCACAGCCACGATGACGTTGGTGCTGGCACGAGGCGACCATATCGGATAGTCTCCATTTCTAGCGTCACGGAGGCCATGATTGCACATCAAAACAAAGTTACAAGATAACGGCTGACACAGCACGCAGACCGATGATTTTTCAACAGAAAGATAAACGTATATTTACCATCGGATTACCAGTTGCCAGTCGCCTAGGAAACTCAATGAACATCACAACACAACAAAAGCAAGCTAAAAAGTGAACCTGTCTGGTTGAAGCGCCGACGCCAGGGCCGGGTCTAGGTCGGATACGGGATGCACTTTGGCGGTCGGCACCAAAGCCTTCTTCATCTTGGAGGTATAGAAATCCTTCTCGATTTTCATCCATTCGTACTTCAGGAAGATGCGAGTGAGAGGATTAAGACGATCAAGGTTGGGGCTCTTGCGGTGTATTCCCAGAGTCTTGATATCTTCGAATTTAAGTCCCAGCACTTTGGCAAAGCTCTCAGCAGGTACGCCAGCCTCCAACAGTCGGTTCAGATCCAGTTCGTTATGAGCAGCCAACCACCTGACATCCTTCACTGACATGACACCGTAGAAATCCCCCGAATCCTTATAAGACGTAGCATCCGCTTTCATGACCTTTCTCGCCTCGGCAAGCACATTCTGCAGGTACGCATCGTGAATACCTGGATGTCGCGCCACGAGTTCATCGTAATACACCTTTAGGTTCGCTTCTATCAAGTCTGCCGTATCTGGATGTGTTTGCACCACCCCTTTTTCCTTGTTGAGACTAGCCGGAGCAGGTAAGCGCACGTTCTTCACAAGCTCTCTATGCAATTTCTTGATCTTCGGTGCAGCCTTCTTGCGGGCCTGTCGCCGTGCTTCCGCAGCCTTTTTTGCAGCCGCGTCCTCGATAAGCGACTGCTTACCAAGCATTGTGCCAAGCTCGTGCTCCAGTCCCGCAGTAAGCCTTTGTAACAGACCCCTGTCCTCGGCCGTGCCACCACCCACTTCCCCCTGTTGATCTTTCTCGTTGTCCGCGTCGGTAGCATCTTGCCCTTCTGTACGCAGAAGTCGACGCTCAGTGGGTTCGTCTTGCTCCTGCGAGACTGCAGCGCTGCGAGTCATGTAGAGAGCCGCGAGAAGAGCGAGACGGAGATAATGCATGCGCATCGTGGTGTTTTCCAGTGCTTTTGGTGCGTGGCAAAAGGCGAAGTGACCGTGGACAAGGTGCAAGAGGTATCGAGTCAAGAGGACAACAAGTCGATGTTGTGGGGTTGTCTCATGTTACGTTGGACGGCAAAGACAAGACGATAATCAAGACCGTAGGACGATGTTGGTGCACATCCTTTCTTAGTCTTTTGAGACCGACTGCACGTCGATTTCGCACACAATTGCTGTGTACACAAGGCACAAACGCAAACACCCCCTCGACTTTGCAAGGCCAGAGGTTTTGGTCGTTTAGAGACCATGTATACACTTTACCAGCAGTCTGGCGACCTGTGGTAGTGGTGATTTAAGACCGCATTTTTCGACCCCGCCGCAGTAACGTCGACTACGCTGTAGCGATATTAACATGAAGGCTCGGGAGCGACGGGCCGGATCTGCATCCCTCCTGTACGCACCAGACGAAAGCAGCTGCCGGTCGTACGGTCAAGACGAAGATACGACAAGGGCGTTAACAGCATACCTTCTGTTTCTCCCGCTACGAGGACGTCAACATACGTACCATCTATGCTACGAAGGTGTCAACATCATACCTTCTACGCTACGATAACGTCAACATACGTACGTTCTACGCGACAAGGGCGCTAACATACGTATCTTCAACGCAACGAGGGCGTCAACATACATACCCTCTACACAACGAGGGCGTCAACATACGTACCTTCTGTGTCTCATGCTACGATGGTCTGTTAAAACACACTCTTTCTGACAGGTCATTCAAGCTCAGGGTGAAGACTGCAAGACCTGTGACAGGTAAAGGGCAACCTCACCTGATTGACTGGCAAGTTGACAGGTGGGACCAGGGCGCGATATGCGGACGTCATGTGGGACCAGGGGTGACATTTGGTGATGATGGACACGTTGGATGTGCACCAGGTGTAACAGGGCACCCTTTGTTTGGAGTGCCGCGAAACTTCACGTACACTCGTACGTGCAGAGGAAGATAATCTACTCAAACAGCTCGTTTGGGTATAGGGTAAAAAGAGGGCTGTATTTTATATAACTAAGCTACCAATACAACTTTAATCTTTATCCAACTAAACTAATCCACATTGTCGTATGACGACAACCTGCTCACCACTCATTGCGCGCGTCTAGCAGCGATTGGTGGTAATCTATGGTTGGATGGTATTGAATCAACCAATCTTTGTGCAGCGCACGAATATTATCCTAAAAGGGGAAAAAAATCCTTCAATGTTATCCATCTCGGATAAAAATTGGTAGGATATTGTCATGCTAGTCAATATCCCTATTGACAACGTTTGGTGTCAATATCATGCAACAAGCTACCCCGTTACACAACCCCCCTCTTAATTATTAATCACCCGTTAATTGGATTTAACTAATTGGGACAGGGTGACCACCGTTGGATAACTCTAGGAAGGGTAAAACATGTTTGTCAAATTCCAGCTCATTTGCCGATTCATCGCATGGTGTCAAAGTCCATGCGATGTGCTGCCGAACCAGCAAGAAATGCGGTTGCACGCAAGCGTGCAACCGATGAGAGTGCTTCACTTGCTTTAGCAGCAGGTGATGCTTCGCCTGCTGTTGCGAACTGTCCTCGTGGTGAGTCACCATGTGCGACAGATACATCAGCTGTCTCTGCAGCGGGTACTGCGAATCGCAATGTGCATGAGCCTGAAATTGATCTCATCAATTCTGGCAAGTCGGATGATGCATCTGATTCGAAGGCGAAACCTTGCGGAGGCGTGCCTCCGGATCATCCGGGGCGGATACTGTAAGAGCCAGATTGACTGGGTCTGGGGAAAGTGGCGGCATCATGTCCGAAACCTTCGGACCGAGCGTTTCTTTCGATGAATCCTCGCCTCACGCAAGTTCATCCGACGATAGGACGCGTGGTGATGGTGGTGATGCCCCTATGCATCACCACGAGAGAAGCGACTCGAGATATCGAGCTGCCACTGGTGTCAGTGCTCGTGCTGACACCACTCAAGAGGCCAGGGACCGCAATGTCCTGCGCCACGCTCCTCAAGTGGAGTCTTCTTGGATGCCATCATCAATAAAGAGTTGGACCGGTTGGCCGGCATGACTACCGATTGGGATCGAATCCCGTTGTTCGATTGTAGGAAGATTTGCCCACCTAATTCCAGCACGGAAACTATCCGTGCTAAGAAAGACTTCTTCACCGATGTGTTCTTCAAACATCGGTGGTACAATGAAAACTGTGGCCGGGACAGTAAGACCTTGGTGCAGGAATGTAATACCCTCATCCATAACATCGAGTGCATTGGCCGTTAGGCCTAGCTTGGTAGACTTGATTCAACTCGCATCAGGTTTGAGAAGCGTAACGCAGTCGGTGTACGGTACAAGTTGCACCGACTGTCAAGAGAGGATTACGCTGTCTCTCGTGGAGCGACCAGTGTCCAAGTTGCCTGGACAACTCCAATCGTGCCCCTAGGAAGGCCTCCCTCCCTAATCTTCCCTACTGGAGGGCGCGCATCTATTCTGAGATGGCCGAAAGGATTGACACTTTGCAATCCTTGTGCTCGCGTTCGGGGAGGTCGTTTTCCGACGGCCCTTCTTCGAACGCAGCGTGTGGGTCTCGTCATACGACGAGACCCAGAACATCAACGATCAGTTAAGCACGAGGCTCCCAGCTGTCCCAGGCCAGTGGATAGCCACGCTAGCGGACGAAGTAACTCTTCCGGACGCCCTTCACGTCGCGGCGATTCAAAATACGCTCCACCAAAAAGCGTTGACCGCCGCGAGTATCAACCAAAGGATGTGGTGGTGTCAGGAACACCTGATCTGGCTCGAGGGTCGAAACAGCTTGTTGTTCAGGAACTGAACCATGTAACGCATCCGTAATACGACGACTTGGCTGATGAAAGGACTCGGCGTTATGAGCTTCATGACATTGTAAAGGAAAATTACAATTTCTTAGCGAACGATCGTTCGAAAGATCGTGCCGCGTTTGCGTTCGCGCAACATAAGAGCGAACAATCAATTTGTTCTCTTCGTGACGAGCTGAATGCAGCTCGTCAGGACATCGCTCAACTGCGTGAGCAGGTCGCTTCGCTAGTCGACCAGACTGGCTCGTTTAAACGGAACCACTCGAAGGTGGTCTCGGTCCTCGACCGCGGAGGTGTTCTTCGCCTCTCTAAACGGGATCGTACTGATAGTACAGGCGGAGACGTCCAACATAAAAAGTAGGATGCGTATGTTACGGGGCTATAACAACCCGTACTTAGCTTATGCGAGTTCTAACGCTTTGAGGAAGCCTCAAATCCCAAGTCTATGGTATTAAGTACTTGTAACTCTGTTTTTATATTCTGTCTTTTAAACAACCTAAGTACGAATGGTTCCCTCAGACTCATGGGAACCACTCAATCTACGTGCCTATACCTTACTGGCTAATAATGGGACTGAGCCCATTAAACCAGCTAAAATATACGACGTGCTACTTTCGCTACATCGAAAGTAGGACCCCTACTTAAGTAGCTTGTAAACTTTTTCGAAACTAGTTATGTAACGGGGTGGCTCATTACATCGCCCCCTTCTCAAGACAGCACTCACGAACCGTGAGTGCTCAACCACAAGACCCAACGGACGCACAAGCCAAACGATGACTGAAGACGCAAACACCAACATCACAGCACTCCCGCGCACTGTCAGCGGGAGTTCGATTGACCACGTGATGGATTAGCACCTGATTTTTCGGGCGCCATACGACTTGTCCGAAGCTCGAGCTCCGGACTCTCTTGAGACGATGCAGAATGACTTCCAGCGTTTCCGTGGATTGCGTGGAAAGAGTTTTGATAGTATCTCGTACGAGTCACTCCAGCGGTCTTGGTGTGCATTCATCCGGCGGTGGAACCGGATGCTCGAAGATGGAAGAAACTTTCAGCAGTGGCTTGCCAACCACGAAGATATCCACGCCAATCACTCAATCCGTGTGCTGCGCGAGAAGGGTATGCGAGAATGCGTGGAACGTAGACCGACTCTGCTACGTTCACGTGCACGAATCTTGTTACACCTGTGACTCGATACCTCGTCCAACCCGCGTGACTTGGCAACGACACGTCGCGAGTATCCACTCAGCGAATATGAACAGCTCTGGATCCGACGGTATGAGCGAATCTTGATAGAGCGTAAGATCACGGTTAATCGTGGAGCGTCAAGCTGGCGACACCACTCGCGTTCTCGAGTTCGTGGTGCCACACGCTCGCCACGACTTTCTCGTTCACGTGGTCGTGGTGATACACGTTCACCACGACGTTCTCGTCGCCACTCTTCATCTCATCGTCGTGGTGACGTTTCACCACGACGTTCTCGCAATCACTCTTGGTCTCGCAGTCGTGGTGACGCTTCACCACGACACATTCATCGTTCATCTCGTTATCGCTCACCGCGAGAACACTCAGGTCGTCGAACAAATATGAATCAAGCGTTTACACGGACTCGTATGACCGAACGACGTCTGGAACGTCACGAAAAAGCGAAGAGTGCGGTTCCCACGTATCCTGCTCGTGTGGATATTCGAGCCAGCGTACACAATACTTGTGCGCGGTTGGAACCGCGCGCTCATGGAGTCGTGAAGATGTCGTTTCGCGACGAGGGTCCTCGTGACCCAATAAACGCTCCACGATCCAGCGCTTCTGACCTTCCGCTTCCACAAGCGGTCATGGGCCCTCGCGACGGTAATGCTGGCGTCCTGGTTGCCCAGAACGATGTAGATGCGGCGGTGAACAAGGCTGTCGATGCTTATCTGGAAGCTGAAGCTGCCCTTGATCGAGCTGCGCGGGCTAAGAGAACACCGAGCGAGATTCGACATTCGAAGTGCGAGCAGCTTGAACGGATGCGAAACCTGGAACGCCAGGTTCTTGGGCACGCGCAGAATGGGACGCAGCCGCGTGCGATGTCGCTGGCGCGTCGAGCAAGGCGAGAGGGAAGGTCGACCTACGAGCCTTTGACTCCGAGGACGGAGCCAACCCGTGAAGCGTAGCTGGACGATACTCCTTGAGCCGCCCGACGTAAAACGTCGGGTGAAGTCGCAGTGACGAAGGGATGTCTAGCGTATGCGTCGCTGATCACCTTTATTATCGTAGATGGGCCGATGAAACGTGGCTCGATTTGCTCGAGCCGAGATTTGTTACTGCTGAATCTCGTAGGCCTTCAGTAGATAACTATGCACGATCACCATTCTTGAAAGTACTCATGTTCTTTCTGCCACGTTTGTCTGCATTCGCTTTCTACTAATCCACTGCAGATCTAAGAGTATCGCGTACAAATCTCGTTATGGCTTGAAGTTGGAGTATAAACTCTGACAAAGCCATGTCATCAATCGATAGCGCCGATTTAATCGGCGCGTAGTTGGCTTGAGGTCTTCGCATACCCGAAGAAGGGTCAATCAGTGTCTGTGCAGCCCATTGGGCTAGCGGCTACGCCACGTCACGTGGCGTCTAAACAGAAGGCTTCACCTTGGAGTGGGGTGACAACATTCGCGCTCAGAATATCTACAGCTGCACTCGATCGTTGTTTACCACTATCACCCCCCGCCGCCAGAGTGGAGCCATGAAGAGCCGTGGGTTGACCAACGGCAAGAAGGGTAGGTACACGAGAATGACGGGCCGAATTTGCAAAAAATGCGTCAACCCCGTTAACGCGTAAACCGCGTTGTTGGGTTTAAACTCCGCGAGTGGTAAAAATGCACTCCAACTCGTAAAGGAAGTTGCGTAACTTCGAAGAACATCTTCGAGGACCCGATTAACCCGCTCTGTTTGCCCATCCGGAAACGTATGGGCTGCTGTTGACATTTGTAGCTTCGTTCCAAGCAACTCAAACAGTGACGTCCAAAACGCAGATGTGAAACGAGGATCACGGTCCGAGACAATGCTGACTGGTAGACCGTGATGGCGAAACACAGTGTCAATGAAGTGCTCCGCGGTCTCAGCCGCGGTGATCTTTGCATGAACAGGCACCAGATGTGTCATTTTGCTGAATCCATCCACAAAGACCAGAATACCCGTTTGATCTCGGCCGTGGGGTGCAAGCCCGAATATAGAGTCCATTGAAACTGAGCGCCAAGCCTCAGCTATAATTGGCAGGGGTCGCAGAGGTGCCTGCGACGATGGAGATGGCTACACGCGCTGACATATTTCGCAGGTGCGAACCCAGTTGCGAACCCACTTGTACATTTGGGTCCAGAAGTAGTCACGTGGGACAGCCTCGAATGTCTTTTCGCGGCCCAGATGACCGCCGATTGGGGCATCATGGTACTCGTGGATTTACGAGCACGCAAATCCAAGTCATTCGCAATCACCGTTCGAGGTGCATCGAATTTATCGATGCTGCATATTAGCCGAATCAATATCTTTACTGTATCGTTGAATGTGTTCAAGCTTCGTTCGCGAAAGAGCTCCCAGTGCAGCATCATCGGGAGCAAGCAGATAGGTAATTATGTCCACGTAATCCGGATCGTTCGCGTAAGCCGCGACAATTTCATCGTAAAGGTATAACTCGGGTGTGACCCGAGTTAGATTCAACGACACACATATCGCACATCGATCGTCTTCATCGTCGTCGTCAGTTGCCTGACGACTCAGTGCCATACGAGAATCTAAATCTGGACGTCGTGACAGTGCGTCTGCAAGAGTGTTAGTCTTGCCTGGCTTGTAGTGCACGACGAAGTTGTGCAAGGAGAAGAAAGAGAGCCACCGCCTCATCCGCTGTGATAGATGTGGGCTCTTCATCGCTGCACGGAGCGATGCATGATCAGTATACAGGGCGAATGTGCGTTCGCCCAGCAGGTGAACACGAAACTTGATGAGTGCGTAGCGCATAGCTAAAAGCTCCTTATCGTGGACTTAATAGTTCGTTAATCCTTGTGGCATCACCAGCCACTCCCATAGCATACCACTCGGAGTGCTCACCGCAGTGCGTGGTATGTCACTCTGTCGCATCAAGATCTGGTAGAAGCCATCGGTCAGATCGATGGCGCTGAAGATGACGCTTCCTGACATGGAGCTGAGAACCATGTCTTTCCTGGGGATAGGCGTTCGGGCAGGAATAGTGGCATCGTTTAGCTTGTTAAACGCATGCACTAAACGCCAGACTCCCATAGCCTTCTTCACGCAGAAGGTTGGACTCGAATGGGGTGAGAAACTCTCAAGCACATGCCCGGCCTTGCGACGACCTTTAAAGAATGCATCAATAGCCTCGACTAGGTCTCGAGGCAACGGCCACAGCCGTATCACACAATACATCGATCCTGGCACGAGATCAATCTCGTGCCGAACACCACGATCAGCAGAAAGTTCAGCCGGAATCTTCTCCGGGGATACGTCTGCGTACTCTCGAGCAATGTCGTAGAGAGGGTTACCAGACTTGCTCAGAGCCTTTTAAGATTGCGACGCAAATCTTTCTTCGCGTGCTGAATTTTGTTCAGCGCTTCGAGGGCGCGTCATTCGATCCTCATTCGTCTCATTGGTCACCTCGTTGGTGACCAGACATACTTGTTCCACCGTGCCTCCCTTGAGGTTGCGTAGAAAATGCTTCCAGGGGAGTCCTGGGAGGCTCGTAATCGACGACGCGTCGCGAGGTGGACTCTCGAACTCAATGTATTTGCGCCTTTGTGGACTCCCGTCCACGTACACAATAGCGTGGACACATTCCAACGCTGATTTTCCGTAGCTTGCGTCCCCATCGTGCTTCGAGTCCATGCTCGGAGCTGGCAAACCGCAGTCAGGTGTAAAATCTGCACCCCTCTAGACGCTGGATGTCCTCGTCCAGGATGTAGAAATCGCGCGACGTGAATAGCCCATACTCGTCTGTCGACGCATGATGCGGGAGACCCTGATCGACCGCCACAAACTCGTGTGGGAGCCCCTGCTCGACCATGTCTTGCTCATGTGGGAACCTCCGTTCGACCACAGTGGGTGATGATGGGAACTCTGTTCGACCATCATGTTCGCACGTGGGAACTCCTGTCCATCCATGTCACAATCGGTGGCGAGCCCCTGCTCGGCCACATCTTGCCCTTGTGGGAGCCTCTGTTCGACCACAATGGGTGCAGGTGAGAACACCTGTTCGACTACTGCTCTCTCATGCGGGAACCTCTGTTTGACCGCTTCGTTTGTGCTCGGGAACCTCTGTTCGGCCGCGTCGTCTTCGTGCGGGAGCCACTGCTCGTCCGCGAGGTCATTACGCGGGAGTCACTGCTCGTCCACGTCGTACTCCTCGCTGCAAAGCGAGGAGATATCGTCACTCGTGCGTAGTGGCACGGAAAAAGCGGTACAGAGAGGGCCATCGCTCACTCTATGCACCGCCGGGGTCTTGGATGTACGATCCACGACTGTAATGTTCGGCCAATCACTTGGAGACACCAAGAGATGGGTGAACACTTCGCTGAAGTCGAACTTACTTCGACGTCTCATTGATCTGGCTAACCAGTCGATCTGGGGCTTATAGCGTGCCAACAACGTCATGCCCAGGATGCAATCGAAAGCATAATTCATCTCAGTCACAAATAAATTGTCGCTACAGCGAAAGACGTCAAACGTGTACAGCAACGACACTTCGCGCCGTGATACGCGGCGTGCTTTCTCGTCAGCGAGCTTGACAACAACTTGGCCAGGTCCCTCGTGGACCTGGATGCTGGGTGACAGCATTGACACGCAAGATTCACGGAAGAAATTGTTTGTCGCTCCTGAATCCAGGAGCGCTCGTAGAGGTCGCCGAATACCGGCGACACGCAGATTAACAATAATTAGGCGTGAAACACCAATCGTAGTGGTGGCATTTGACCGTGCACGCAGCACAGATGGGCTGGGAAGTCGGGCTGCCACCGGTGGACCTGGACCTCCCTTTAAACCAGTAGGGCGCCCTGCACCTACTGGTCTCATCCGTTTTTTGGACGAGTGAACGGAGTCCCTCCCTCTTGATGGGTGTCCGTTGCGTGTACTGACATCGGTGCTGGCGCGCGGCATTCAGCCGCGCGATGTCCCGACTTTCGACATCGAAAGGAGATCATCTGACGTCCGCTATGGACGTCGCCCTTGTAGGGCGTAACACGCTGTCGGTCACCCGACGACTCAATCGCATCAATCTCTATAGCTTCCGGGCCCGCTGATTTGACAGCGGTAACAACTGAAGGCTTGGTATAGGCCTTGGTGACTCTGCAGTCCTCATGGAGGGCGATAACGAAAGCCCCCTCCAACGTGGCAGGCTCCGCGCGTTCCAGCGATAGGCGAAACTGCCCTTCACGCATGCCATCGACAAACATGTTCGCTTGTGTTTACATGTCCATGGGATGCGTGACAATGCACGACGCCAGATGTCGAGCCATCTTGCCCTGTCGCAAGGACAGGAACCTTGAACGCACCAACTTCTCTTCCTGTGGCGGCTCGAAGGCGAGTCGAAGGTCACTCTGGTTGGCTTCCAGAGTGGGGAACGCATACTCGTCCACAACGAGTTTACCCAAAGCCTACTCCTTGGCTTTCCCACTGAGATGGGAAAGGCGGAATTGTCCTTCGTTTGAGGAGCCTCGAGAAGTCTCGAGGCGATAGCGATGTCAACCTCTCGATACCAACGCGACAGCGACAAGCGTTTTCTGCCTTTGCCAGAGTAGACGGAGGTCTTCATCTTCACGGCATCGTTCCGTGAAGTCCGCGAGGGAGTTAAACCTCGCCGATTGGATTCGGCGAGCTCGCGAGCCATGAAGTCGTGTATGGCGAGACGCTGTCCATCAGGAGTCGCTGATTTCATCAGCGACACAACGAATGCCTCTCCAGATATCGCCTCGAGGCGATTTAGGGTATCCCACTCAACACCAGTGAGATGGGAAAAAGTCGCGTGCTCCAACTCACGTCTGGAGCATCAAAGTACGACGAATCGCTCATCCCAAACTCGGGCATGGGAAGGACTACTAAGTTCTACCAGGTGCAACGGGGCTAGATAAACCCGCGCTTAGCTTACACGAGTTCTAACGCTTTGAGGAAGCCTCAAAGCCCAAGTCTAAGGTGTTAAGTACTTTTAACTCTGTTTTTATATTCTGTCTTTCAAACAATTTAAGTACGAACGGTTCCCTCGAAATCACGGGAACCACTCAATCTAATCTACATGCCTATACCTTACTGGCTAATAATAAGACTGAGCCTATTAAACCAGCTAAAATGTACGACGTGCTACTTTCGCTACATCGAAAGTAGGACCCCTACTTGAGTAGCATGTAAACTGTATCAAAACTGGTTACGTAACGGGGTGGCCCATTACAAGTTAAGTCTACTATCCTCTAGCGACTGGCGTCGAATACAACTGTTCGACGCCCCACAGTCAACTAGGGCGCGAATTGAATTTCCACTTGTCACTTCGATCTTCAAATTGATGAGGGACTCCGCATCACTAAGGGCAGTGACACACAGAGATTGTGTGTTGGGAGCAATCTTCGTCAAGAGTCCTGTACAAGCTCTTGTCGTTGCTGGACCAGCAGGGTTCTCCGCCCCTTCTGAACCTGTCCATTTTTTGACGGTCCAACTTGCTGTCGCGACTGAGCGACATGGTCGGACCCACGCCTTGGACCTTTCCTCGGCCAACGACGGTCATCCCATCTTGTCTTTGGACGTGATGTAGTGCTTGGGACACTGCACTCATGAGCGTAGTGTCCAATCTTCTGACAGCGATGGCATCTTGCCGTTCGCTTGTGACTCAGAGAGCGAGAGTTCTCACTCTCGATGTAACAGAGGTCCATTGGTTCGGGACCTCCTGTTTCCTGTCGTCTCGTCGGACGATAGTTTGACGAGTTAGCCTGAGACTGTCTCAGGATGAAGTCTTCTTGTTCCGCTATCGCCCTTTTCAGCGTATGGAAATCCTCTCGGACCATGTAGGTCTTCACCGGCCCATCTACAAGGCCGTAGATGAACACGTTGATGAGCGTGTTATCATCAACAGAATTTACGTGACGCTACTCGCAAGGTATCGCTGGTGTTGTGCGTAAGCATGCACTTCAAGCTTACCTTGCTTAAGCCTCAGGAGTGCAGAGCGTGCTCTGAACTCGGCTCGTGGTGGCTCAAACGTCTTTTTGAGCCTATAATTCAAGATCTCCAACGACTCAAACACATTTGGGTAGTAAAGCTTGAGCCCTAAGGCCCAAGTCTTTGCTCGTCCTGTCAAATTGGACAGGGCCTAGGTGACTTGCATCTTGTCACCCTCGATGTGACGGGCTCTGATGGCGTCGTCTAGCTCGACGAACCATCCCAAAAGGGAATCTTCATCTGTTCCCTTGTACCTTGAGATATCAGTATTCAAGGTTTCGAGTCGACGCATGTGCGTCCTGCCCATCGACTGATGAGAGCCTTGCTGCTGTAGGAAGTCTGTTTTCTGTCCTTCGACGGCAAGTTCCCCTTGTAGGAACTTGTTGATAGCAGCATGTTGCTGGTCTCTGCTTAGAGACTCCAACATGCCGTTGATGGCGGGTTCGCCCATGAGCACACTCATGCGGCCGACTGCCTCCCATTCTGAGTCAATCAGATGGGAGTAGCCTTCACGTGTGACGTGAAAGCTGTCGCCTTCTACGTCCAACATGTTAATGTTGGACGGACTACACAGTGCTACCACGTGTAACGGGTCACCCTTTGTTTGGGGTGCCACGAAACTTCACGTAAACAAGGACTTGCAAAGGAAGCTAATCTACTTGAACTACTCATTTGAGTAAAGGGCAAAATGATAACTGTATTTTTATAGAGTTAAGCTATCAATGAAACTTCAGTCTTTATCGAAACATAATAAACTACGTCGTCGTATGACGACAACCTGCTCACCACTCGTCGCGCGCGTCTAGTAGCGATTGGTGGCAATCTATAGTTGATATTTCTTATATCATCCAATCTTTGAGCAGCGCATCAGTATTATCCAAAAGGGGATAGTATTCCTTCAATATTATCCTCCCCGGATAATATTGGAAGGACATTGCCATGCTAGACAATATCTCTATCGACACCGTTTGGTGTCAGTATCATGTAACGGTCTACCCCGATTAACAATCGGTAAGTGCTTCGGATTACTACCCCTTATGGTAATATTCACGAAAAATACCAACCTTTGTGACGATATTCTTGCTAACAAGTATCAAGGTTAATCACGTGTAACAGGCTCACCCCGTTACAGCGCACGTGAAGTGACGTGCGGTACTAACTGACACAGTGCAGCGTAAATTGCGTCAGTACAAATCACCAATGCCCCGTTACAACACGTAAATAGACTATCTAAACACCACCACTTTTAATCTTCCATACCTATAATACTGTGTGTGCAGTTCATTACGAACCGGTGTTTGACCCCGTGAAGGATATTGGACTCTCCGTCCAATGTACTCCTCTTGATTTACCAAAGGATCGCAGCACATTGTTTTCTCGTAAAGTAGAGTGCTGCGCGTTCCCAAACAGCGTGACTGAAACGGGGCACCCTCAAGCTTGTACTGATGACAGTACAAGCTACTTATTCTGACGACAAGAATAAGGCGGTGCCTCGGAACTTCACGTACACTGGTACGTGCAGAGGAAGACGGTAAGGAGAAGCGAGTACTTGGTTAAAGTAAAAAGTGGAACTGTATTTATCATAGTTAATGTCTGTTAATCAACCACTATTTGTCCTCATCTAGCTATGTCCAAATACAAATGTGCATATCAACTATCTGCTCACCACTCATTGCGTGCGTCTGTCGTGGTGCGTCTTAGTTGCTTGATATAATGGCCTACATCAACCAATTAGGAACTACTCGTAAGTGCTGCAGAATATTTTTCCTTATGACAATATTCTGAGAATCTAACTCTTATAGTTATATTCTATTAACAATTTCTTATAAATTGTTATGTTACGATTCACCCCGTTACATCACCCCCCCCTTAACCATCAGTCACTTTAGTGACTGATTGACTAAATGGATTCTCGTCCCAAATCATTTGGGACAGGGTTTGCACTTGTTGGTCCGAGTTCACTTCTCAACATTTCATCGCATGGTGAACAAGCCCATGCGATGCGCGAGCAAGGCCGCCGAGAGCGCGTCCGCACGTCTCTGTGCGGACGCCGAAGCAGAAACTACAGCAACTGATGTCTCATCGGTTGCTGAAGCGACCCAGCCTGTGTCACTTGGTGATGCAGGCGCTCGTCATGAAGACACTCATGTCTTCACAGAGTACGAGCTCGGTGTTTCGTACTCTCCTGACACGGAAGACGGATCCTTATCGACGGCGATCGAATCCAAGCCGCCTGCCAATCGTGGCATGGATGATGCTATGCGTTATAGCATCTTTGATTCATCTGATGAATCAGATGAACCATCGCCGAAGCGAAGGCGCTCGAGGTCGCGAGACTCGGGCGCTAACAGTGGTGTCGGTTCTCCTATTGACACCACTTCGCAACGAGGTGCCAGTCCTTCTGTCGGCACATCGCAGGAAGAGCGGGACCGCAATGTCTTGCGTCTCGCTCCTGAGAAGAAGGCATGGATGCCTCCTAAATCCGTCATGGATCACTTGTCGGCGACGACGAGTGATCGTTATCGAACACGGTTGTTCGATTCGTCAAGGATCCATCACCTTGACCCCAGTGCGAAAAACTATCGCGCTGAGAATGAATTCTTCATCGGTGCTTTCTTTAGACAGCGATGGTACAGTGGGAACCACAAGCGTGATGGTCCCTCACTGCTTCAAGCGTGGAACGCCTGCATCCATAACCTTGAGGATGTAGGTCGTGACGTTTGGAACGACAAACTTATCAAAGCTCGTGATAAGTTTGAAAAGCGAACCCCTACAGGTGCACGCTACAAGCTGCATCGTCTGTCAAGGGAGAAAGGATTACCCTGCCTCTCTTGGGGAGACTCGTGCCCATGTTGTGTGAACAACTCTGCACGATCACCTAAGGAGGCTTACCTCCTTACTAGCCCGTGGTGGCGTGTACGTATCTCTAGTGAGATGTAAGAAGGGATTGACAACCTGAAATCCCTTTACGACCGTGCCGGGAAGACTTTCTCCGGCGGTCCTTCTGCGGCACATGATGTGCCGCGTCGTACTGCTCAACCAGACCCAGTACGTCAATCAGCAGTTGGGAGCGGGGCTCCCAAGTATCCCAGGACGGGGGATAGCCGCGCCACCGGACGAGATAACTCGTCCGACGTCCGTTCACGTCGCGGTGGTTCAACAGATACTCAACTAGATAGCGCTGGCCACCGCGAGAGTCCTCTAATGGAGGTGGAGGAGGAGGAAAGACGCTCTCCACAAGATCGTGGGGATCCGTGTGTTCCCGAGAGCTTCTTTGATCGCGTAACGCAAGGGTTACGCAACGATCTCGAACATGAGCGGGACAGGCGTCTCCAAATGGCGGACACTGTCTTGAATCATCGAGCTGAGTTTGCCTTTGCTCAGCTTGAGAACGAGAGAGCTCTGACATCTCTTCTTGACGAGCTAAGGGTAGCTCGTGGGATTGTTGATCGGTCTCGGGATGAGATATATGCTCTTCAGACCCTTGTCGATGGCCACCATCGGGAGAACAAGGCTCTCTGCAAGATGCTTGAACGCAAGGGCGTTCTTCATCGGAAGAAGCAGCGTACTGATGGTACGGCTTAAGCCGACCAACGTAAAACGTGGGATGCGTTCGCATCTTACGTGGCAGTTCGATCGTGTATGCGTTGCCTAGGCGGTGCAATACACGAAGTGGGCCGATGTACTTGGGTAGTAGTTTACTGCTACCCAAGTTAGTCACTACATGCTTTGGTAGTTTAACCGTAGACAGTAGGACTAAGTCACCTTCATTGAATAAAAGAGTGTTTGCCCTTCCATTCTTGTCAGCGTTTTGATTTTGCTTATCCACCGCTTCGGCGATAGAGTCTTGCACAAAACGGACTACCGTTTCGCGAGCCAGTATGAACTCATCTGCTGACTCGTTAGCTTCAGTGCACTGTGAGCGCACTGCAGCAACATCAATCGTTTCTTCAGTGAGGGCTTCCGCACTCTCACTGGGATCATCTTCTTCAGTGAGGGCTTCCGCACTCTCACTGGCATCATCTTCTTCGATATCGATGTTGTCGATATCTGCATCAAACGCAATAACCTCTTCGTCAGAGCGTGATGAGCGTGAACTAAATCGGTTTTTGCTCGCGCGAGTCCCTCCCCCCTTAAACCAGAGTTACACTCTAGTAAGGTGGGTACACGCGGATGGCGCAAGCCATTCACGTAAAACGGTGTATGTGTCGTGGACGCATGCACCGAGTTGTTAATGGCAAACTCTACCATTGGCAAGAAATCACTCCAACTCTTAAAGGAGTGTACGTATCCTTGAGGTATCTCTTCAAGGACACTATTGGCTCGTTCCGTCTGACCATCTGACTCTGGATGATCAGATGTAGACATCTTTAAGCGCGTTCCGAGTGATTTGAACACGGAGCGCCAGAAATCAGCAGTGAAGCGCTGATCTATGTCTGATACAAGTTCACGGGGCAGCCCATGAAGTCGGAAAATGGTGTCAATAAAGACACAAGCACAGCCACTTGCCGTGATTGACTCTGGTACAGCCACAAGGTGTACCATTTTGCTAAATCTGTCAATAAATACGAGAATACCCGTAATATTGCGTGCGTCTTCGGGTAACCCGAAGACGAAATCTATTGAGATGGATTCACAGAACTCTGCCGGAAATGGTAGAGGCTGTAAAGGTGCACGCAGTGAAGGACTTGACTTCACTCGTTGACAGACTTCGCATGCGCGAACATACTTTCGCACAAACTGATACTGGCAGGGCCAGTAAAAGTCTCGACTCACCGTGAGATATGTTTTCTCACGGCCACGATGTCCTCCTATAGTAGCATCGTGATACTCGAACATGATCAGCAAACGCAGATCAGTATCATCTGGAATGACAACACGTGGTGTGTCACCAGAAAAGGCTGTATAATACAGTAAACCGTTGTGAGTAGTGTATCGATCTGATGCAGGTCGATACGCGGACGACAATCGTTTCAACGATTCTCGAGATGGTTGGGAGGGATGTGTCAACAACTTCACAATCTCACCATCTTGGGCGTATGCCCGCCTCACATCATCATACAACGTTGTAGATGGTATTGAGGACGTCAGAAACGCAACAGTGGCTGTCTCACTGTTGGGTTTCACGACTGGTTCATAGTCGGGCCGACGTGAGAGTGCATCAGCGACGACATTAAGTCGTCCTGGTTTGTACTCGACCGTAAAGTTGTATTCTGCAAAGAATGACAACCACCGCGCCATTCGTTGTGAATGGTGCGGGCTGTTTACTGCCGTGCGTAACGACGCATGGTCTGTGTAAGAAATGAAGGATCTATCTCCTAATAGATAGACTCTGAACTTCGCGAGTGCATACTTCATGGCAAGGAGTTCCTTGTCATGCACTGGATAGTTCCGCTCAGCTGGTTGCAGCTGACGCGACTGATAGCAGACGACGCGTTCAACGCCTTCAAGATCGTACTGCATTAATGCACAGTCGATTGCGAAAACGCTGGCATCACAGACCACATAAAAAGGCCTCTCCTGATCGGCAATTGCTAGGACTGGGAATTGTATCAAACTCTGCTTGATACCATCAAAGGAGCGCATGACATTCAGCGTTCCATAACCACCTCTCGTTCTTTTTCAACAAACGAGAGAGGTGCACAGTCATCTCGGCGTAATTGCGTGAATACTTATGCAAATACGCCACTAGCCCAAGGAATTTTCGAAGACCTTTGACATCAACCGGCACAGGCCAGTCGGTAATCGCCTTGATCTTTTCGGGATCAGGACGTACACCGTTCTTACCAACGATGCACCCAAGAAGTGGTATTTCGCTTGCTGCAAATTTGCACTTCTTGAGATTGGCACACAATTGATGCTTTGCATGATTGTAAGAACCTGTCGGACGTGGTACCTGTGAACCTCAACATCCGACTTTCCATCCATAGCCCGACTATAGATGAATACGCCATCGAAATAACTTGGCGCGAATTCTCGTACTGGTATCAACAGATGTGATACACATCTGCTGAACGTGGCTGGGGCATTACTATGCCCTTGTGGCATTACTAGCTAATCCCAGAGCATGCCGCTAGGCGTGCTAACTGCGGTATAGGGTATATCCCGTTCTCGCATAAGGATTTAATAGAAGCCATCCATCAAATCCATGGACGAAAAGATGGTACTCTTTGACATACCATCAATGATTACTTCCTTCCTTGGTATTGGCGTCTGAGCCGGTACCGTTGCAGCATTCAGCTTGTTGAATGCATGCACAATCCGCCACCATCCTGTTGCTTTTCGCACATAGAAGGTCGGAGAGCTATGTAGGGAAGTTGATTCCCTCAGATGGCCCGCAGCCAAACGATCGGCAAAGAACTTGTCGATCGCAAGTACTTGCTCACGAGGCAGTGGCCACTGCTTCATGACACAGTACTTCGAGCCTGGTTTAAGCTCGACCTCGTGTCGAATACCTTTATCCTTCGGTAATTCGCACGGAACAGTTTCAGGGAATACATCCTTGAATTCAACCAAATCTTCGTAGAGAGGATTTTTCTTGAGCGATTCCCACGATTGGGAGTCGTATCGCTCAATTCGTGTCTTTTCATCTAGGACACTCTCGTCCATAGATGAACTACTGAGAACTCTCTCGTTCTCAGTAAACACTGCTGCTGACCTTATGTCGGTTACACACTCGTCGTCAGCGACGAGTACGCAGATCTGCTTGACTTTGCCACTACGCAGATCACGCAAGAACCTTTTATGTTCGAGCGTTGGCAACTGAGTGATCTCCGAAGTCAACTTCGGAGGCGCAATCAGATCAATTGTATAAGCGCCTACACTTGATCCGTTATTGACTATGACATTCAATGTCTCTGTCATTTCCTGGGGACTTATTCCCTCAGGCTTCGAAGGACTTATTCCTTCGGCTTCCCGGGGACTTATTCCCGCGGGTTTCGAGGAACTTATTTCCGCCGTATTTGTAATCTTGGGACTTATTCCCTTTACTTCCTCTAGCTGGGGTTGCGCAACCACAGCGAGATCCTCTACGAAAGACTCTCCAGTCGATCTAGGATTATCGTTTCGCTTAACCTGAGCGATCGATTGTTTCTCTTCTAGATGTTCCCCGCTAGGAATACATCTTTGTCCCAGTCCACCCGACTTATTCGAGTGGTGGACCTTCGGCGCAGCCTGTGTTTCCTCACAGCCGCCGGAACTTTGCTCCGAAGTGTAACCGTTTGGTACAATAAGGTTTTGTGCGGTCGTACTAACGACCGTACCACAAGTGAGGCCATCGCACTCACTCGTAGTACATCCAAACGCTTGTGGACGCTCAAAAACGTTCATCAGATGGCCATCTGATGAACAAGCGGCAGGCATCGTTACTGTTCCATGTTGCCAGTTTACCCGTGGTTCGCACCTTCTGAGCCACGGTATTCCAAAAATGACATTAAATTTGTCATCCAAATCCAATACGATAAAGTCATCATCATATTGGGTATCTTCTAGCGTATAGTGGATCTTCACTATACGCTTCATGACGGTTACGGATGCGCCTGTCGCAAGACGTACCGTCATCCTCGTAGGGGGTGTGTCACATTCACTGAATTTAAAGTGACCGTCTTCTAGCGATTGGCGTCGCACAAAATTGTTAGACGCCCCACAATCGACTAGAGCTCGAAGGGACAACTTGTTTGTCACTTCGAGTTTCAAGGTAATGAGTGAGATCTCATTACCTAGAGCAGCAACGCACAACGTTTGTGTGTTGGATGCAACCTTCATCAAGAGGCCCACAAATTCTCTTGACGTGTCTGGACCAGTAGGGTGCTCCGCACCTACTGATCCTGTCCGTTTTTTTACGGTCCATCCCGTTGTTGCGTCTTTGCACCAACAGCGGACCCACGTCCCTGCCCCTTTCTCATGGTTGGACGGTCATTACGCCCAGTGTTGCGAGACACTGGACGAGGGGCACTACACTCGTAAGCGTAGTGTCCTGTCTTTTGACATCTTTTGCATCTCTGCAACTTCTTGTAGTCTGTAGAGCGAGCCTTCTCGCTCTCTACATAACAGAGTTCCATCGGCTCTGGACCTCTGCTGTCATATCGTCTCGGTTGACGATGTGATGTCGAGCTGGCGCGAGCCTGTCTCAGACTGAAGTCTTCCTGTTCCGCAATGGAAATGTCTTGTTCTAGTGAATCTAGTTCAAGTCGGAACAGGTGAGTCTTGACGGGAGCATCCTCAAGACCCTGCATGAACACCGAAACCAACGTGTGTTCATCCACCGGGTTGAAACTTATACAACTCGTGAGACGTCGTTTATGTTGTGCGTAAGCGTGCACATCACGCTTACCCTGTTTGAGCTTCAAGAGTTCGGTTCGAGCTCTGAACTCAGCTCTAGGCGGTTCAAACGTTTGTCTGAGCCGCGACTTGAAGACTTCTAACGACCCAAACGCATATATGCCGTGCAACTTGAGCCCCAGTGCCCAAGTCTTGGCACGTCCTGCCAGGTTTGATTGGGCAAATGCAGCTTGCATATCTCCGTCGTCGATGCGACGCGACCTTATGGCGTCGTCTTAGTCGACGAACCATCTCAAGAGGGAGTCCTCTTCGACTCCCCTGTACTTGGAGATGTCAATTTTCAATGTCTTGAGTCGACGCGAGTGCATCGACCCACCAGCAGCAGCCTGCTGCTGTCTCAACAGTTCAAACTGTTGAGCACCTTGTTCTCTCAACAACTCTGCTTGTTGAGAACCTTGTTGGTGAAGCAAGGCTACTTTCTCGCGTTCAGCGTCAAGTTCATTTTGAATGAACTTGGCGATAGTAGCATGTTGGGCATCTCTATTGAGAGCCTCTAGCATGACGCTAACAGCATGGATGCCTATGGTTGAACCCATTCGTTCAATCGCATCCCAATCGACATCGCTCAAATGGGAGTAGCCGTCACGCGTAGCGTGAAAGCTTTGGTCATCTTCATCATCTAACAAATTAATGTATGATGTGAACGTGGTCCTTGGACGGACTACGAAATGCTACCAGGTGTAACGGGGCACCCTGAAGCTTGTACTGGTGACAGTACAAGCTACTTATTCTGACGACAAGAATAAGGCGGTGCCTCGTAACTCCACGTACACTGGTACGTGCAGAGGAAGACGGTAAGGAGAAGCGAGTACTTGGTTAAAGTAAAAAGTAGAACTGTATTTATCATAGTTAATGTCTGTTAATAAACCACTGTTTATCCTCATCTAACCATGTCTAAATACAAATATGTATATCAACTATCTGCTCACCACTCATTGCGTGCGTCTGTCGTGGCGCGACTGTATTTATCATAGTTAATGTCTGCAATAAATCACTATTTATCTTCATCTAACTATGTCTGAATACAAATGTGTATATCAACTATCTGCTCACCACTCATTGCGTGCGTCTGTCGTGGCGCGTCTTCGTTGGTTGATATAATGGCCTATATCAACCAATTAGGAACTACTCGTGAGTGCTGCAGAATATTTGTCCTTATGACAATATTCTGAGAATATAACTCTTATAGTCATATTCTATTAACAATTTCTTACAAATTGTTATGTAACGGTTCACCCCGTTACAGTGACGGTGGGGTATGGTACTTGTGTGAATGCATCGAACCGATGATAGCCCTCATTGAAATTTGTGCACCCCTGCGTCCTGAACTGGATCCAATTATGTGTTCTTTCACTCGATCACCACCATCGATATTGTGGCTTGTGGATCCAGATGTTCAACCACGTCCAGTAATTGTCAGTCCACTTCAATATCAATGACTCAGCAGGCCCCGACGGTCTTTGTTGGCTTTTTTGCTGGCGTCAATATATATCGATACCACGACTTAGCGCAACCCCTGGTTAATCCTGTGAGGAGTGCGAATCAGGATGCCACTCGTGATGGCTAAGAGCTGTAGCGAGCTGCGCTTCACCACACGTACTTTGTTCTGTAGCTTCTAAAAGGCTGAAACTACGTGTGTGAGCTACGAGATCCGTCTTGGTCACCCCAATAGTACATTCCAGTTGACGATTATAGCGATATCGTGACCAATGTAACGACGCTCATGCGCTCATGAGTACGAACAATCAAGAAGCTCTCGTTGCCACATTAGCAAGCTTGGGGTATCATGGCACGTATACTTTACTTTGCCATTTTTCGCGGCACTCTTTCCGAGCCTTTGTAGTAAAGCGTAAAACTGTACAGACGTGAAGAGGAAAGACGAACACGCAATCGAGCGTTTAAGAGGAGGAGCTCGATGTGCTCACAAACGGTGCGTTTCGTTTGAACTAGGCTCGATGTGAAACGACATGGATCGAACAGCGGTAACGTGACCGCGCCCTATTCGGTGCAACGGGTAACGGAGTCACCTGAAGGACACGAAACGGACAAAAAATGACAATGCAACCAGGAGGTGCTAGGTAATGGACCTGGCAGACAGACTCTTTGTGCAAAATGCTCTCTCGTGGCGGTCGGATGGCGATGCGACACCTCAACTTGAAGTTTATCCACCGCGCTGCAAATCCTTTTCTGAATTATTCCGAAGAAAAAGACCTTGCTCGATGTGTAATGCACAGGTCGCCTGGCAATCAAGTGACCTCCACGTCGTTTTTTCCCGCCCAGATACGGCAGCGTGAAGTGCATGCGAACGGAGAAAGGCGTGCTGTCTTGCACATGGCTACAAGACCCACGACCGCATATCCCCGTACCTCGCTCCCAGCGTGTCCTGTCTGTCTGTTCACTCGCGTTGATATTCACGTGCTCGAACCACCTAGTAGTCCCTCTAATTGGCCGAAACCAAATTAAACATCCAGAACGAGGTTCAGACCTGCGTGTCTCCTCTGTACCATCTGGTTCCTTGCCGTTTCATGCGACAAAACCCACGCCTTGTCTGGTTCCATACAAAAATCAAGTGTCCCGCTTACAACCCCACGACGACAGACTCGCGTCGCTGCTTAGCCGACTCTATTGCAATCAAGAGCCATTCTATCTTTTGCCGAGTAAGCAACAGAGAGCGAGAAAGAGCGAGCGAGCGAGCGAGCGAGCCCCCACTTGTAGCCGCATTTTCTATTCAGTCCGTCCACACTCACCACGTCCTTATGACCGTATCCACCACGTCGCCCCTCCCGCTCGTCCTCGCCGCAGCCGCGCTGCTCGCAGGCGCCCACGCCCGCTCCAACACGGGCGAGCCAGGCTTCTGCAAAGACGACAAGTCGTGCGAAGAGAACTACGTGTGCATCAGCGTCCAGACGACGCGGTCGGGCATTGAGGGCGTGAAGCAGTGCTTGCCGTACGTGGCCGAAGGCGACGTGTGCTCGGGCACGTTCTCGGGCCTCTGTCCGTCGTTTTCGACGTGGGATACGGAGTTCCAGTCCATCAGTAGCGTCTGCGCGTACCAACTGCCCTCGGGCACGGACCAGTGCCTCAACGACACGTTCTCGGGCGGCTCGGACACGAGTGGCTACGTCTCGTGCATGGACATTTCCGCTGGCTCAGGGTCTTCGGCCACGAGCGTCGGCGTGATTTTTGGCTGTGTGGACTTTGACGGCTCGAATTTGCTCTTTGAAGAAGACTCGGCCAATTGGGAGCTCTCGTCCGAGATGAACTACACGGGCGTGATCAACGAGGGGTGTGTAAACCCCACGAACGGCGAGAACTCGGACGTTGTGTGCTCGGGACGCGGCACGTGTGCGCCGGCGTCGTCGGGCTCCATGGGCTACGCCTGCAACTGCAACATTGGCTACAACGGCACCTTTTGCCAGAACATTGTCTCGAACAAGTGCACGCTCGAGTCGCAGTGTCAAGCTGGCACGTGCAACCTCGTGACGCAGGAGTGCGAGTGCGAAGAAGGGACGACGGGCGACCAGTGCGCGTTCTGCGACCCGTCGTCGACCAAGGCGTGCAACGGCCGCGGCAAGTGCGTGGCCGCGCCCAGTCTGACGACGGACGTGAACGGGACGACCAACGCGAACGGGGCGAATAACGCGAACGGGACGATGGACTCGGACACTACGACATCAGCAGGCAGTGACATGAACATGGCTACAGTGGACACGGCCGACTCTGAAGGCTCAGGTTCTACGACGGCAGCTCGGTTCTTGATGGAGGCAGTTGGCATGACTTCGTCGGGGTCGACAAGTGGCAATGGCAATGTCTGCGTGTGCGAGAGTGGCTACACTGGCGACCAGTGCACGCGGGAGGTGGAATCGAGCGGCAGTGGCGACGACAAGAAGTCGGGTCGTCGGAACCCTTCGTCCAGTGACGCTTCTTCGATGGCCACGTCGTTTGGTGTCGTGGCTGCAGCGTTTGCTTTTGCCGTATGGAACTAGTTGGATGGAGGATCGGATGCTTGAGTGAGGTAAGAATGGCGCTGATGGTCCCCATTGATGTATTGCTGCCTACTAGAGCGGTCCTAGTAGAAACATGCGTGCGAGCAGGACGTCGCGGGTAGTCGTTTCGGTATGAAAATGCTGCCTGTGTAAAGGCCTGCTGTACACGTGCTTATCAGTTTCTCAGAAATACAGATTCCTTTCTTTTTTTTGCGCTAGTCGGTGGTTTTCGGGAGTTTGTTATCTTGCTTTAGCTTATACTGTATGCAATAATAAAATGTCGTTATGCTGTTCGCTAGCAGCAGGCGTACAGTATTTGAGTGATGGCCCTGACCCGACCCGACGTGAGAACATCAACATGGCTACATCCACCTCCCTCGACTCTATTTTGTCGAAGGGTTCCCCGTTTTTGTGACGCACTCGTTCCACTCTGAAATAAAGGCATTGTTTAAAACCACAAAAATCACGCAATGAGTCACTATCGACGCTCGTCCATGAGTCGCATGTCGGTCAGCAGCAGCGTGGCAGCAGTACCCACTGCTCTGCGTAATGACGCGATCTTATACTTGACAATTATGTCGGGACGTGAGTTGAAGAAGGTGCAGACGCTGGGTGAACAGGATCCGTACTGCAGCGTCTATTTGACAACAGGCGGAGCTGAGCAGGAGAAGGCGGCGTTCAAAACGGACACACATGATAACGGAGGTGTTTGATTCGTGTGTCTTTAGATGGCTGGAAAGATCATTGAAAAACGAGAATATCGAACGATGCTTAGTGTGTGAGTGTCGTGCTACGTAGGCACGCAGCCAATGTGGAATGCCAAGGGACACGTTCTGATTCCTGACATTTCGTCGGACGTCATTCGCTTCCGCGTTAAAAACAACAATTGGGGCAAAAAGTGGGCTATACGTTTTCTTTCTTCACGTTTGTTGTATCAACGTGCGTGTCATGGACGATACGGGTATACTAACGACTGTGTGCCTGGATGGTAGTACGGTGATTGGGGAAATTGCCTTGGCGATGCGGGACTTATCCCGCGGACGGTCGATGGAGAGAGAGTTTGCTTTGACCCCTAAGGGATATTTGAAGGTTCTTATGTATCTCTCGCTCGGTCATGGTATGTCGGTGGACATTATCGGTGAGGGATAACTGGTAATTGCTGAAACATTGTGTGTGTCTATTTCTTTCGTGGAATGCTAGAAAACCCAACGTCCCAACCGCGTGTGAAGTTCGGCGAATACCCACAACACTTCATTCCTGGGAAGACCAAACTCTATGTAGGACTGATTTCCGGCAGCAAGCTGCGCGATATTCAGTCGTTCGGTACGCAAGACCCGCTGTGCGAGGTGTTCATAGGACGCAGTCGCACACCATCCGCCAAGGATTTGGTGTACAAGACGAAAACTCATGACAATGGAGGTGAGTGGCACTTGTGCTTGCATGTTGTGAGCTGTGTGCCGATGCGATGCGTCATACTGCTGTGTATCAGGTAAGAATCCGCGCTGGATTGAAGGTTTTACGGTCAGCGTTCGATGTATCGAGCACGACTTTCTAGTGATTCGCGTCATGAATCATAACACTGTGATAAAGTAAGGTTTGTTGACCATAGACGTCTGCAACAAATGAGAGTCTTACCAGGTCGTTTGTGTGTGCAGTACGCTGATCGGGGAGTTGTGTCTAAAGGTAGAACTGCTGATCAGCCGCATGTTTGAAGACAAGAGCTACCCCATTGAAGCAGACGATACGATTGTTGGCCAAGTGCGACTTCAGCTCGCACTATTCAATGACGAGATCATGAACGAAGACGAGATCCGTGACTGCGACGTCGATGGGTGCTCCTGCACTTTGACGCAGCCAGTTCGGGCGACAAAAGTCGGCAACGTGCTGATTGACGGTATTTCGCCCGATGGTGTGCAGTATTTGGAGGCTGGCACTGCTGTACATACTGGATGCGAAATTGCTGGTGACTATGTCATGGACAAGGATGTGTACGAAGGCAGTAGCTGGCAAGACGATAGATCGGACTTGGAACAATTAGACAGCGACGAGTGGGAAGGCGACGAGTTGTGATCGACTTTACTGAACGAGTCTGCGCATTTTCCGGATAACAAAGTGTTAAAACCGTATTTTTGTCGGTGTCTTTGAATGTACGTAGAGAGATCAAACACTTTTGGGTCATGCTTGATTTAGAAAGCGTTTATTTCCAATCGTATGTTTTAATAGTGAGTGAGAGGGGTTGTTCCACTCTTATATACGCACGTTACTCGCCCGCAGTCGACGAAATCGGGGTCACTAGAGCATAAGATGCTTGGCGGCAGAGACGCAGGACGAAGCGACGGCGCTTTGTCGTCGGCGTACGACGAAGAATACGTCGACCAAGACTCGTGGACGGAAGTCAAGCGACAGGAACTCGACTATGCCGTACGGAGCGACTTGTTTAGGGTACTAAACGGATTGCACCGTGTTTAAAACGACCTTTTTTCTGTGGTGTGCAGACGTCGTCCGAGTCGGACAGAATGCATTTGGTGCTCGAGGATCCAGTCGGTGTTTTGCACCAACGAGAGACGGCGGTTCTCAAGGTGCACGCCCTGTGCGCTCAGCCGACGTGGCAGTGCGCGGCAGGAAGTTCCAGCAAGACACAGGTGAAGAACGAGAAGGAGCGAGCTAGGAATTACCGAGACGGGGCAGTGCCCGGCACTCTGTTCGTCACGGACTGCCGTCTCTTCTTTCTCCCTTTTGAGGCGAGTGGTTCGATCTCTTTTGTGTTTGTTTCGAGGATCTTGCTCTGTTTGTTTTTAACTGAATTATATGGGGACGTGCGTGGATGGGTGTTGTTATTTTTTCGTAGCGACGTCAGGATGAAAACGCTACGGTGGAAGTTCAGTTGACGAACATTGCAGAGCTCGCGGAGCTTCCAGTAGACGGGACACTGGGTTCATTGAGCCAGCTGGAGGTTTCGTGCAAGAATTTCGAGCTGGTCAAGTTTACTTTTCCTGGAGAGACTATCTCAGGTGATGTTTACGTGAAGCTTAATCAGTTGCTTGGAAGCAAACGCCAGACTACAGCTTCTGCAGTCGAACGTGAGCCAGACCGATTTGGATGGACAGGTTATGACCCTCAGGCCGAGTTTTCTCGCTTGGGATTCAAGACACCAAAGGCTGGCACTCCACTTGGTGGATTTCGCATCACGCACGTGAACAGCAATTACAGGCTATCTCCGACGTACCCGAGCTTGTTCATCGTTCCGGCATTGGTGTCCGACGGCGAGCTGCGGAAGATTAGCTACTTCCGTGCTCGTGGACGTGTGCCGGCTGTGACGTACCGACACCACAATGATGCAGTCGTTGCTAGGTGTGCACAGCCGCTTGTGGGACTTCGGAGGAAAAGGTGCACTTCTGATGAAGCATATATGCTAGCGCTACGACGAGAGTGCAAAGGGAAGCTGGTGTTCATCGATTGTCGGAATCAAGCCAGTGCATATGGCAATATGGCACTAGGTGGAGGCTTTGAAGTGTGCGAGTTTGTGTTTTATCTGCACAGAATGGTCGTTGTGTTTCTTTTTTATTGAAAACCGCGTTTGCATTGACATGTAGATTGGACTACTACAAGGACACCAACATCATGTTCATGGGTATTGAAAATATCCACTCCATGCGAGATTCGATTCGCAAGTTGTTTGATCTGATCAAGAACGAAGTGCGAGGGAATGAGCGGCTAGATTGGTTGTCATGCCTCGAGGTGCGTTTGCGTTCCACTCACTGAAGTTGCAACGTGGAGCTTACTGTGTGGGTATGCTATTTTGTTGTCGTTATTATGGTTAGAGTACGCGATGGCTCGAACACGTGCGCTCTATTCTCGTGTCGTGTTCCGTATGTGTTGAGAAACTTGTTGAGGGAACTAGTTTGGTGGTGCACTGTTCTGACGGATGGGACCGCACTGCTCAACTCACGGCTTTGGTAAAACTATGTGCAGATCCATTCTATCGGACAAAAAAGGGGTTCCAGGTGCGTTGTCCAAGCGGAGGCTGATGACTGTAGCGCGCTTGATTTATTCTAGTTAACGGTGCTTACAGGTACTCATCGAACAGGAGTGGTGTGCATTCGGACACCAATTCTGCACCCGGTCGGGAGATACAGCCACCCAAGCGCGCTATTGGGAAGATGAGAACACATCGCCGGTGTTCATGCAGTTCATGGATGCAGTGTGGCAACTCATGCGCCAGTATCCTTGTTCATTCGAGTTTAGTGAACTCTATCTCATTGCCCTGCTGGATGAAGTCTATAGCAAACGGAGTGGGACCTTCCTGCACGACTGCGAAGAAGCCCGGATGGTTTGTCCTGCATTATTGTATCGGATTATCTCTTGCTACAAGCCGTTACTGAACGATGCTGTGTGCATGTACACTAGGCGTTCAAGACGGATGTCCAGTGTATGAGCGTGTGGACGCTACTGGAGGTGCATCCTCAGGCCACGAATTTTCACAATCCATTTTACATGGCGCCTCTTCGTGGTGATGATGATTCGACGTGCAAGTCTCCGTCAGTACTTCAGTGCAAGTGGCACACAAGCTTGCTGACGATTTGGTCCGCGTTCTATCTGCGGTCGCTGGGATCGAATGACTCTCGGGTATGCTAGATCCCTTTGTCTTTTTTTTCATTGCATATCATGCTGGTTGCATGAAAAAGAGCGACGAGGCAGCTGGCTGACCTTGAGTGTTGCGTTGATGCTTATTGGTGTAGCAGGCGTGGACCAGGGAACTACAGATCACTCAGCGTCAGTTGCATGAGCAGTTGAGTGCCGCCCATCAGCAGTTGCAGTCTCAGGAAGAGCAGAACTCGAATCTCCATAGCGAGTTGGAGCAGCTTCGACGAGAGCGTGCTCAGTTGCACCGGTTACTTGAAAGCGAGGTGTACAGCGACACACTGAACGGTTTGCTGGTGCACGAAGAGGACGCGAATGAAGACGGAGTCTTGCTCAGCGTGACGCCCGTCAGCAAGAGTCGCACGACATTGGGAACCACTGGCAGCAACAGTAGCGCAAGCACCTTTGGCGCAAAAGTGGGAGCCAAGATGTACTCGACTACTGGCGTCGGCTCGTTCCTGGGCGGCTCCATTGGTCTGGAGTTTGATGTCCTGCCAACTTACTTTGACCGCTCCGCTTGATACGAGTCTCGATCCGTACACTGCTCATCGACAAGCGCCAAAGTTTGCAACGAGGTCTCTGGCGGCAGACGGGTCTATCCGACAACACGTCGAGAACCACGGCAGCATAACGTTCGCATTTCGTGACTGGTTGGCGCCCCAACATGTGGTCCATGACTTGGCAAAGCGTGTGTGGTGCACAAAGAAAAGACGCACCCACCCGATACTCGTTTGTACGGGGTAAAGGGTGAGACAGGGGAGGCACGTTAAGGGAGACTTTAAAAAAGGAATTCCTAAATGCCCGGTCTTTTTTGCAAATCTCTTTAGGAATCCCCTTTTTTTTCAAGTCTCCCGCATGTTGACGCCCTTTGTCGCTTCGTCGTCTAGAGCGTCCGACCGACAGCTGCTTTGGTCGAAATCGTCAATGAGGAGGGTTTATTTCGAGAGAGAGAGAGTCGGTCGATATAGAATAGGGATTGGCGATCCCGCCCATCGCTTCCCAGCCCTTTTGTCTATCTCACTACAGCGAAGAAGACGTCGCTGCAATTAGCCAATGCGCCCTGTATTTCCACCACACAGACGTTCTTCGGAACGTGTACATGCGGTTTTCAAACGGCCAAGAGCGCATCGCCGATGAGACTAGAGAAAAAAAGAAGGCGAAATCGCAGCAAGTGAAAGCCTGGCTAGTAATACATGGTCGGGAGAGGGGGCTAACTTTGCAGTGAGTGAGGCGAGATAGTCAGTAAGCAGATAGCCGGAAGCCTGCCGATTACTGCGCGCCTGTCGACAACAGATGGGGACTCTCTATGCCCTGTGTCGACACAGCAACTGTGTGAGGATCGACTTGCACTCGGTATGGAAAGACTAGGAAGGAAGAAGGGCGTGATCGTCGATCGTCCTCTTGTCTCAATTCTTGTCCTTGTCGTTTGGCGTAACAATTCCACAGTATCGACCTGTTGTCCTTTGGACTTGAGACCTCCGTGCACATTATCAACCGTCACTTTCGCTTTTGCCACGCACCAAACGCACTGGGAAACTCCACGATGCGCGTGCAATACCTCTGTCTCGCTCTCTTCGCGGCTCTCTACTCGACGCACAGCGCTGCAGTCTCGCTGGGGCAGGACGGACCCACTGAGCACCGCCTTCTACGTGCGGAAGCGCCGAACGCCAGTGGAGGTCAAGAGGGGGCAGACAACGGCATGGGCGAGGAAAGGGCTCTTTTCCAGGCCTTTGAAGGCCTTGGTGCGAGAATTGGGAAAACGATCGGAAAGGTGCAACCCAAGAGCGATGGGCAGTCGAAGATACTGAAGGCGGCTGCAAAACAGCAGAAATCGTCCGAGGAGAAAAAGTTCGCGAGATTTAGGAAGATATTGCTTTGGAAACTGCGAATTAAGTACGGTAAAGCGGGTCGCAGAGCTGTGCAGCGATGGAATAAAGAACCGGCCGCGACAGCCGTAGGTACTGACAGGGACCTGTACAAACAAATGGCCGTGGAGATTGCGACCGTAGCACAAAAAGCTCATGTAGCAAGAAAGGCTGCTGAGCAAGCCAAAAAAATGGCTGCTAAGAAAGCAGCAAAAGAGGCAGCTGCTGCGAAGCGCATCAAAACACCGCATAGTGATTGAACAGTTCTTGGTCAGCTTGGGCAACCAGACCACGGAGGGTGATGTGTTCGCCTACCAATTGGGTGGACTTGTTGTGGAACTGGGGGAAGTCGAGAGGTTGGCTGCAAAGGGCGATCTGGATCTGGTACGATGACACGATGCCAATGCACCTGTTGAGAAGCCTGCCAAGGCGCCGGGCATCGATTCATTGACTTTCATGACGAACTAGTAGTGAGCGGATACTGTCGGAGAAGGAACCTGGCGATGCAGTTCTTCGCAATTTTAGTGGTAAATCGACATATTTTGAATAACATCGGTCTCTTTGCTGTGCAAGCCGTCGTTGCGTTACTTTGTTTTGGTGTGCAGTCATGGTCTCAGTGGTGCTGAAGTTGAGGAGAATGTGTAACGGGGTGAATCGTTACATAACAATTTATAAGAAATTGTTAATAGAATATAACTATAAGAGTTATATTCTCAGAATATTGTCATAAGGACAATATTCTGTAGCACTTACGAGTAGTTCCTAATTGGTTGATATAGGCCATTATATCAACCAACGAAGACGCGCCACGACAGACGCACGCAATGAGTGGTGAGCAGATAGTTGATTCACACATTTGTATTTGGACATAGCTAGATGAGGATAAATAGTGGTTTATTGCAGACACTAACTATGATAAATACAGTTCTACTTTTTACTTTAACCAAGTACTCGCTTCTTCTTACCGTCTTCCTCTGCACGTACGAGTGTACGTGAAGTTCCGAGGCACCGCCTTATTCTGTCATCAGAATAAGTAGCTTGTACTGTCACCAGTACAAGCTTCAGGGTGCCCCGTTACACCTGGTAGCACTTCGTAGTCCGTCCAAGGACCACGTTCACATCTAACATGAACATGTTGGATGATGATGATGACCAAAGCTTTCACGCTACGCGTGACGGCTACTCCCATTTGAGCGATGTCGAATGGGATGCAATTGAACGGATGGGTTCAACCATGGGCATCCATGCTGTTAGTGTCATGCTAGAGGCTCTCAATAGAGATGCCCAACATGCTACTATCGCCAAGTTTATTCAAAATGAACTTGACGCGGAACGCGAGAAAGTAGCCTTGCTTCACCAACAAGGTTCTCAACAAGCAGAGTTGTTGAGAGAACAGGGTGTTCAACAGTTTGAACTGTTGAGACAGCAGCAGGCTGCTGCTGGTGGGTCGATGCACTCGCGTCGACCCGAGACTTTGAAGATTGACATCTCCAAGCATAGGGGAGTCGAAGAGGACTCACTCTTGAGATGGTTCGTCGAATTGGATGACGCCAAAAGGGCGCGTCGCATCGACGACGGAGATATGCAAGCTGCATTTGCCCAGTTAAATCTGGCAGGACGTGCCAAGACTTGGGCACTGGGGCTCAAGTGGCACGGCATATATGCGTTTGGGTCGTTGGAAGTCTTCAAGTCGCGGCTCAGAAAAACGTTTGAACCGCCTAGAGCTGAGTTCAGGGCTCGAACCGAACTCTTGAAGCTCAAACAGGGTAATCGTGATGTGCACGCTTACGCACAACATATACGACATCTTACGAGTTGTATAAGTTCCAATCCGGTGGATGAACACACGTTGGTTTCGGTGTTCATGCAGGGTCTTGCGGATGGTCTCGTCAAGACTCACCTGTTCCGGCTTGAACTAGATTCACTAGAACAAGCCATTTCCATTGCGGAGCAGGAAGACTTCAGTCTGAGACAGGCTCGCGCCAGCTCGACATCATATCGTCAACCGAGACGATATGACAGCGGAGGTCCAGAGCCGATGGAACTCTGTTATGTAGAGAGCGAGAAGGCTCGCTCTACAGACTACAAGAAGTTGCAGAGATGCAACAGATGTCAGAAGACAGGACACTACGCTTACGAGTGTAGTTCCCCTCGTCCAGTGTCTCGCAACACTGAGCGTAATGACCGTCCACCCATGAGAAAGGGGCAGGGACGAGGGTCCGCAGTTGGTGCAAAGACGCAACAACGGGATGGACCGTAAAAAACGGACAGGATCAGTAGGTGCGGAGCACCCTACTGGTCCAGCAACGTCAAGAGAATTTGTAGGCCTCTTGATGAAGGTTGCTCCCAACACACAGACATTGTGCGTTGCTGCTCTAGGTAATGAGATCTCACTCATTACCTTAAAACTCGAAGTGACAAATAAGTTGTCCCTTCGAGCTCTAGTCGATTGTGGGGCGTCCAACAATTTTGTGCGACGCCAATCGCTAGAAGATGGTCACTTTACGTTCATTGAATGTGACACACCTCCTACGAGGATGACGGTACGTCTTGCGACAGGCGCATCCGTAACCGTCATGAAGCGTATAGTGAAGATCCACTACACGCTATAAGATACCCGATATGACGATGACTTTATCGTATTGGATTTGGATGACAAATTTGATGTCATCCTTGGAATACCGTGGCTCAGAAGGTACGAACCACGGGCTCACTGGCAACATCGAACAGTAACGATGCCTGCCGCTTGTTCATCAGATGGCCATCTGATGAACGTTTTGGAGCGTCCACAAGCGTGTGGATGTACTACGAGTGAGTGCGATGGCCTCACTTGTGGTACGGTCGTTAGTACGACTGCACAAAACCTTAGTGTAACAAACGGTTACACTTCGGAGCAAAGTTCCGGCGGCTGTGAGGAAACACAGGCTGCGCCGAAGGTCCACCACTCGAATAATTCGGGTGGACTGGGACAAAGATGTATCCCTAGCGGGGAACATCTAGAAGAGAAACAATCGATCGCTCAGGTTAAGCGAAACGATAATCCTAGATCGACTGGAGAGTCTTTCGTAGAGGATCTCGCTGTGGTTGCGCAACCCCAGCTAGAGGAAGTAAAGGGAATAAGTCCCAAGATTACAAATACGGCGGAAATAAGTTCCCCGAAACCCGCGGGAATAAGTCCCCGGGAAGCCGAAGGAATAAGTCCTTCGAAGCCTGAGGGAATAGGTCCCCAGGAAATGACAGAGACATTGAATGTCATAGTCAATAACGGATCAAGTGTAGGCGCTTATACACTTGATCTGATTGCGCCTCCGAAGTTAACTCCGGAGATCACTCAGTTGCCAACGCTCGAACATAAAAGGTTCTTGCGTGATCTGCGTAGTGGCAAAGTCAAGCAGATCTGCATACTCGTCGCTGACGACGAGTGTGTAACCGACATAAGGTCAGCAACAGTGTTCACTGAGAACGAGAGAGTTCTCAGTAGTTCATCTATGGACGAGAGTGTCCTAGATGAAAAGACACGAATTGAGCGATATGACTCCCAATCATGGGAATCGCTCAAGAAAAATCCTCTCTATGAAGATTTGGTTGAATTCAAGGATGTATTCCCTGAAACTGTTCCGTGCGAATTACCGAAGGATAAAGGTATTCGGCACGAGATCGAGCTTAAACCAGGCTCGAAGTACTGTGTCATGAAGCAGTGGCCACTGCCTCGTGAACAAGTACTTGCGATCGACAAGTTCTTTGCCGATCGTTTAGCTGCGGGCCATGTGAGGGAATCAACTTCCCCACATAGCTCTCCGACCTTCTGTGTGCGAAAAGCAACAGGAGGGTGGCGGATTGTGCATGCATTTAACAAGTTGAATGCTGCAACGGTACCGGCTCAGACGCCGATACCGAGGAAGGACGTAATCATTGATGGTATGTCAAAGAGTACCATCTTTTCGTCCATGGATTTGATGGATGGCTTCTATCAAATCCTTATGCGAGAACGGGATATACCCTATCCCGCAGTTAGCACACCTAGCGGCATGCTCTGGGAATGGCTAGTAATGCCACAAGGGCATAGTAATGCCCCTGCCACGTTCAACAGATGTGTATCACATCTATTGAGACCAGTACGAGAATTCGCGCCAAGTTATTTCGATGGCGTATTCATCCATAGTCGAGCTATGGATGGAAAGTCGGACGTTGAGGTTCACAGGTACCACGTCCGACAGGTTCTTACAATCATGCGAAAGAATCAATTGTATGCTAACCTCAAGAAGTGTATATTTGCAGCAAGCGAAATACCACTTCTTGGGTGCATCGTTGGTAAGAACGGTGTACGTCCTGATCCCGAAAAGATCAAGGCGATCACCGACTGGCCTGTGCCGGTCGATGTCAAAGGTCTTCGAAAATTCCTTGGGCTAGCGGCGTATTTGCACAAGTATTCACGCAATTACGCCGAGATGACTGTACACCTCTCTCGTTTGTTGAAAAGTAACGAGAGGTGGTTATGTAACGCTGAATGTCAGCGCTCCTTTGATGGTATCAAGCAGAGCTTGATACAATCCCCAGTCCTAGCAATAGCCGATCAGGACAGGCCATTTCATGTGGTCTGTGATGCCAGCGTTTTCGCAATCGGCTGTGCATTAATGCAGTACGATCTTGAAGGCGTTGAACGCGTCGTCTGCTATCAGTCGCGTCAGCTGCAACCAGCTGAGCGGAACTATCCAGTGCATGACAAGGAACTCCTTGCCATGAAGTATGCACTCGCGAAGTTCAGAGTCTATCTATTAGGAGATAGACCCTTCGTTGTTTACACTGACCATGCGTCATTACGCACGGCAGTGAACAGCCCGCACCTTTCACAACGAATGGCGCGGTGGTTATCATTCTTTGCAGAATACAACTTTACGGTCGAGTACAAACCAGGACGACTTAATGTCGTCGCTGATGCACTCTCACGTCGTCCCGACTTTGAAACAGTCGCGAAACCCAACAGTGAGACAGTCACTGTTGCGGTTATGACGTCCTCAGTCCCATCTACAACGTTGTATGATGATGTGAGGCGGGCATACGCCCAAGATGGTGAGATTGTGAAGTTGTTGACACATCTCTCCCAACCATCTCGAGAATCGTTGAAACGATTATCGTCTGCGTATCGATCTGCATCAGATCGATACACTACTCGCAACGGTTTACTGTGTTATACAGCCGTTTCTGGTGACACACCACGTGTTGTCATCCCAGATGATACTGATCTGCGTTTGCGGATCAT